TAGTTAAATTTCGTGTAATTTAGAAAAGAACCAATAATTTCATAGTAATAGTAAAGATCTACTGTGCCACATGCTGCGCTGCAACTGCGCCACACTGTGCCATACTGCGCATTACTGTATCACACTGTGCCACTGTAATATGAAAATATGTATAAATACAAGTGCTAATAATTAATAAAAATCAAGTTCTTCAGTTCATATTTTAAGTTCTTAAGTTTTGGTTTTGAGTTTCTTTTGGTTAAATGTCGAGTTTGACATATTAGATTGATTTTATTTTGGAATTTAAATTAGTTTTTGATTAAGTTTACCTTTCAGTTTAGTTTTGTTATTCTCATTTTCGTCATTTTTATCTTGTTAAGAAATATCATTTATCGTCATAAATATCAATTAGTTATAATATTCAAAGTAAACTGCCATGAACACAGTCACTATTGCCATTTTGAAATACTTTCATACGCAAAAGCTCAAAACAGTAACAATATTCTTCTTCTTTAAAAAATGAGCTTCTGCAAGGATTAGAATAATATTTGTCAAGTGAAATTATCAAGAAAAAGCATTTAATTTTTCTCAGATGGGATGATGACTCCATATCAAGTTTTCTTGCACTCACTGATAATATGTAAGTATTTTCTTAAAGTGAATCAGGAGTGATATTCTTGACAAGAACTTTATTTTTTCCAAATAAAGGTAATTTATTGGTCCAGTTCTTGTTATCTTTCAATTTTGAAGCACAAAGATCAAAATCTTGTTTATGTAAATACACATTTATTGCCTTGCAGTCAGTTTACTCCTACGCGTCACAACAAACAGCGAGATATGGAGCTTCAGAAAGTTTTGAACAAAATAATCGAAGCAAACCCAAGCGTAAGCTGTCCCATACAAACTCCACAAACACGGCGATCAACACGAAGGTCTTGCATGAGACTGCCGGTTTCTCTGAGCTTGCAAACTGTTAAGCGCAATGGTAGCACAGTCGGTGCCTCTCAATACTGAAAAAAAGAGAGGTTTACACTGCCATAACCCATTGCGTAAGGCTACGGTCGCATCAACCATCCTCGGAGTGTAAACTTCCGCCACTATCATGTCATGTTCTGTTTGTATGAAACGCTCTGCTAACAATCTTTCTGTTCGTTTATTACATGAGTTTTAGCTTTCTGAAACCCAAAGATCATGTATCGCATGGCTATTGCAGTACTTCAACCCAGTGCCCTTGGAATTTTATCGATTTTTAAATCGGAAAACGAAACATACTGCAGTCAGCGGGTATCTTTCAGCACTTTCACATGTCTTGGAGATGTCAGACAACATGCCTGAAGAGAAGAGGGTCTTGTTTGGAGAGATCCAACAAAAATGGAAGGTGAGAATACCGGTATGAGTGCGCGTGCTGTCTTTTTCTTTTAATGAGTTGTTTCCTTACATATGCATTACAGGATGGCGTTTTCAACAATGACTGGACGATGTACGTGGCAGAACGGACAGCATCGTCATCTGTCAACACGAGCATCGCTATCCAGAGAGACTTCAACAGTGAAGTTTCATCTCACTCCATGAGGGTAAGAATTGTTTTGAAAATTTCAATGTCCTCCTGCATTTAATCTATGATGTACCGCTGTGTTTCTTAGAAACGGAAACATGATCCCATTTCGCTACATGTACTGCACTGCGATAACTTTTTTCACTGCATATGACTAATAGATACCCGCAGATATCATTCGAAAAGAAAATTAGGTTTGCTGCAAGTGAATCCGGTGGAGATGAAGCAACTGGAAGTAGCGAAACAGGTTCTCTGTTAAATCTGTTTGAAGTCCCTGAAGGGACGGATGCCAGTGCACAGAACCAGATTGATACTTGGCGCAAGTGGCTAGAGTACATCCTCGAGGTCAGTACATGGACGCAATCTACAAGAAATACTGTCAGATAATTGTGAGCTTATCTCCTATTATGTTTGCAGGTTCCCATAGAGGATGTAAGGGTAAAAATTCTGATGCTCCCATATAGCAATAAAAATAAGTTTGAAGCGACAATGATTCAGTATATCGGCAAAGTGCTAATGGACTTGTGAGTTTCCTTTGCAAATTTTCATATATCTTTTTTAATGCCCTATAATGATAATGATAATCAAATAGTGTTAACAAAGTCATCGATGTCCCTGGCAATGTCTTGTTTATTGATGATATTGAGCGAGACTGGATCGTCAGTAAACTGTCACCGCTCTTTGTTTATCTAGAAGCCACGTTCGTAAATCGAGTACGATTCCACTGGCAAGTGTTGTTTTTTGATAAGATTTCAATTAATATTTTAACGTTTCAAATCGTGAGCTAATTATGCATTTATTTGTCTAAACTAGGATTGAACATGATATAGAGCCCACTCATGAGCGTCTCGTCCGTGATGGTAACACCACCAACAAAGACCAGTTGAAAGCCGACATGGTTGGTGTTCGGCTTTGTGACAACCGGCAGTCAATTCGTTACTATTGAACTTCTTAGATTATGATGTGCGGTATGCGGGGAAGATCCGTTCTCTAACCGTTCAAGGAATCAGTGAGTATAATCTTTAGTTGATAATCATTCAGATAATAGCAAGCTTCAACAAATTTTTTAACCTTTTGTACCTAGGAAATCGGCTTACATTACGATCAATTTTTTTAAGAGGGAAGGAGGATTACGTTGACGAGGAGATTTTATCAGCAATATTTCCACTTAGTTGGGAGCTCCGCTTCCAATTTTTGGAAATATTTGAACTAACTGAATATATAATGCTATCAGTTATAGAATATCCAAATGTGATAAAAGAGCTCAGAAAGCATCGTGCAGACTCTCTGGAATTTTCTATTAGGCATTGTCTTTCAAATTAGCTTTATTTAATAAAAAGTTTGTAAAGAATAGCATCCTGTTGTTAAATCAGTTTACCGCTACAGTTTGGCATATGTTCTCTAGCAACTGTTGCTGCTCTGGTATCTTTACCTGAATCTGCAACTTTTCCGTTTCCTTATCCACTTTCTTTGGTTTGCATCTACCTTTGCTTTACCATAACAATTGGATCAGAATTTACCTGAACTGTTCAAGAAATGTTCCATGTCAAGAATCTTGTACCAAGACACCAGCAAGTTTTTCTTTAAATAATTGTGAAAGTTTATTCTTTAGTTGATTATAGAAATGTAAGCAAGTCATTTGGATGATAATTATGTTCTCTTCTTTGAATGTTTTTCATTCACCTCCTCTGACTAAATGCATTTAAAAAAAAATTAGAATTTTTAAACTTGAGCAACCAAGAATTCTTGTATAACAAATGTGCAAAACAGGATCTGAGAACTCTTGATACAACATTATTTGATCTTATATTAATTATTTGAATTATTGTTATTATCTTTATGATCTCATTTTCTATCTCATGGTGTGTGATTGTCATAAAGCAATAGGATTATTCTATTTTAGCAGTGAAAAATTGTTTTTAGAACTTGTAATGAATTCTACAAGTTATTATTTGTAGTATTTGTATTTAATATCATGCAGCAAGATCAGAAAATGAAAAAGATTGATGATAATAATAGCAAAATAATAATATACAAGATGATTAATGCATTTTTTATTAGCAACAAGATTACTATAATAATCAAATTGATAGTAACATATTAATAGTTTTGTAAAGAGCTGCAGAATACTATATAAATTCAGTTTCATACTTTGATATTAGTGAATTAAAATTAGGTAAGAAGACAAAGAATTGTTATTATAGCTTTATTATAAACCTGGTAGTTATAAAATGTATGTTGAATTATTATATTGTCAAATAGAAAAGAAGACTTTGGATAATCTTTTAATTTAATAATTAGAAATAAGTGATACAAGAGCAATAATAATAATCTTGGAACAAAGCAAGGAAAGAGCATTAAAAATATAGCAGAAAAGATAAAAAATTACTTGTATTATAGATTATTACTATTACTAGTAATAACCAGTATCTAATAGAATATCATATTGCTTTTAAAAAAAATATTTATGTGATAAAAAGAATCTTATATAATGATGCATTTGAAAACTAAAAGAAAATATCTTTGAATTAATGATACTAATATGATATTTTTTCTTGTAATGCAGTTAATAATTCATATTTATAATAATGCTTACAAGTTATTGAAATAATAAAATTAATTAGTTCTTGCATGCAGTATTTTAGATTAAGTTTTTCAATTATTAATTATTTTAATAAACTAATAAATTTATTGTTTAATAATAAAAATATAAATATAAAATTAATTAATATTAAATTAATTATGAAATCAAAAAATTACAGTACTATTAAAAGTATTTAAAAAAAGAACAAGATGAAAAAATTGTATTTTATATTTTTAAATTAACAAAGATCAAGATTTTGCAAACCTATTTAGACAATAAAAATTACTTATAAAGTTTATTAAAAGGAAAAAGTTTTCAAAAGAATATTAAAAAATTTTAATCAAGAATCAAGAAAGAAAAGAAAACTATTAGAATAACATTTTTATTTTCTTACTTTTAATCAAGATTATCTTTTAGATTTCTTAACTTTAATTTGAGTAACTTGATTATTCTGTTGCTTTTTTAGCAATTTATTTTCTTGAATTAATCAAGCAATTTTAGCTTTAATCTGCTTTATTTTTTCTTCATCTCATTTTTTAGATTTTTTATGAAACTTCTTTTTTAATAATTAACTTTTTCTTGATAATTGATAGTTTCTTTTCCAGTTATTTAGTTTTTTCTAAATGAAAACTGAAAGATTAAAAAATTAAATTTGTTTCTTTTTTCTTTATTGCAATAACAAAAACTCATTTTTTTAATTTATCACATTTTTCATATTGTAGAATAGTATCCTTGTCATATTTCACTTTATAATTTTGCAAATAAAGAATATATCAAAATATTGCTTTTTCTTAATGTGTGCTATTATCTAAGATAATAGGAGCTGTGTTAAAATCAAAATTAATATTATAATCTATAAAGCAATAATTATATTCTTGTTTATTTTCTTTTGTTAATTCCAAAATTTTATATTTTAATTTTATGCTGTTATTTGCTTTTTTAAATGATAAATATATAGAACTTTTCTTGAATTTTTTCTTTAATTTTGTTTATCAATTGTTTAAATTTTAATAAGCTGCTTTATTTTCTAGACAGAGTTGATAATTCTTTATTCTCATATTTTTTAATAGCTTGTTCTTTGTTTTTTAATCAATTAATATTATTTTTTAAAACTTTTATTTATTTCAAAAATTATTTTTCTCTTGAAATATAAATTGATTTTGCTTCTTTTATTTGGTATTTTCTTCACTTTGCTAATATATTTAAAATTTTTTCTGCTTCTATCCATACTTTATTATCTAATTCTTGAACTTTTACTTTCAATTCTCTTTTTTCCTTTTCTAATTTTTCAATTTTACTTTCTAATTTATTTATTTTAACAGCTTTTTTATTTATATTAATAATTAATTTATTCTAACTACTAATTATTTCATTCAAAAAAAGATGTTTGAGATCATAATAATTATAACAACTTATACTAATTTAATCTCATCCTTCATAATTTTTTTTTAAGATTCCTTTTAAAGTTAAATTATTTTCTATTTTTCTTTTTTTTATTCATTTTCTAAATAATTCTTTGCTATTCTCAGAATTTAATTTGATAAGATTAATAAAACATATCTCTTTTTGTCTTATTTTTTACATTTTAATTGCTTATAATAAGGATAATATTGATAAATAGTTAAAATTGCTTGTTTGTGAGATAGTTCAGTAAGAAATATCTTACAGAGTCAACTTTTCATAAATATATTAATTATATTTACTTTAAAATTATTAATATAATAAGATTCTTTTAAAATAATAACTATTTATTATTTAATTTTTTTATTGTTTAATTATTTAAATTCTATTAGTATTTTTAATTGTTTGTTTTCCTCTTTTTTATCTGCTAATTATATTTTTAATATTTTAATTTTATTCAATAATTCCTTTTTTTCTTGTTATTTTTTTAAAATATTTATTATAGCATTTTTTAATTCTTTTTTTTATATAAATATTTAATATCTTTATTTTTGTAAAAGTATTATAAAGTATATAATTATTTTATTATTAAGTAATACATATTGACTTAAATATTTTACTTATTGTTAGTATAAATTGATATAAAACAAGTAATTCTTCTTTAACAAATAAATAAATATTTTGATAAAGATATTCTTGCCTCTTATAATTCAAAGGAAATGATGTTAATACTAAAATTGAGAAAGCTTTAATTTTTTTAGTAATTTCAGAAACATTCACTTTTTTGTTTTTTTATAAATTCAATAAAAATATTATTAGCAATTGCTTGAGTTTTAACAATATCTGGATTAACTACTTGAAAAAGAAAGTATTAATACTTTTACAAACTATTCAATTTTTTAAAAAAAATATTTAAGATCTAAATATTGAAAGTCTTTATCATTTTTATAATATTAAACTATGTTTAATCCAGCAGAACTGGATTTTTTTACTATTTTAACAATATAACTTACACAATTTATTGTGATTTTTCTGTAAAGCTTTTTAATCAAACTAAAATTATCATCATATTTGAATCTGGTGTGTTCAGAAATTATAAAATTTAATTCAATATTTTCATAATAATCACAAATTACCAAATATAAATAAAATCAAATGGTAATATTATTTTTATTCTGTTTATCAGCATTATTACAAGTAATTTTCAAATATTTTCATCTTTATTCAACTTTTTAATGTCATTAAAAATCAGATTAAGTGTATTATTAGAATCTTTTCTAATTATTTCATTTTTATTTAAAATATAATTAAATTATTTTTTAGTTACTTCATTTTAATATCAAATAAATGCACTTTGCAATAACTAAAATAATAAATTTTGCCTATTTGTTGATCTGAATATGACACATGAACATTTTGAGCTTAATCATAACTATAATGAGCTATAGTATCAATATTATAATATTAAGTTTTGTCTGGTATATAATTTTGATTAACTAATTTTTTTGTTCTTTTGCTAGCTTGATATTTTTATTATAATAATTTTTTTCTAGTTTGATCTTGACAAAATGATCTTAGTAATTCTCTGACTTTTTTTTCTTAATGAGCATTATATTGTAATCTATTATGAAAATGTTAACAAGTATTATACAAATCAATTCTTGAAACTCATTATTTGAATTTTTAATGTTAATTGATGTCACAATTTTCTAAATATATTTTAATAATTTCAAATTGCTATCTTTTTTCAAATCTATCAAAAAGTTGTGATAAACAAATTTGTAAGTTGTTTTTGTTGATAAATAGATAACTAATTAAGTTATTCTATTAACATTTCTTTCTGAACTTGGCAAATCATGAATTTTTTTAGCATAATTTTCAAGGTAATTTTTTATAGCAGTAGCAACATTGTAATTAATCACTGTTTTGATTTTTTATTGAAGTATTTTTTTGATATTGCTATGAAGTCTTAAAATTAAATCATTATTAATTAAATGATTTCTAATATTTTTAAAATAGATTCTGCCAATTCCCAGTATATTAAAATAGGTTTCTTGATATAAAAATATATTGTGATTTCAGCAATAGAAAGTTTTTTAGACATCTACTAGTGCTAATTGATTCACTATTCATTGCTTTATTAGTTTCATTGAAAATTAAAGAATTTATAATAATCCTCAAAACAAAGAACTTGTTGAAAAAAGGGAATTTCCTGTCATTTGCTTTAAAAATTGGCAAAAATCAGGTCTTAGAAGAGCCTTTGCTGTTGGTATTTGATGTTCAACAAGATAATGAAGTAAACTTATCAAAATTTATTCTTATTGCTACTACTTCTATCCACGAAACCGAAAAACTTTGCTTTCTCGTCTAGATTGGGTTAATGCGGACACTGCTCAGCCAAAAAAATTCTTTTGGACAAGTACTATTTCTGGTTTTTGGTGCCTTCGCTTTTTTAATTTTTGGTGCCTTCGCTTTTTTAATTTTTGTACTCAAAGATAGAAAGCGAAAATAGGAAGGGTAACATTAGTCACCCAAAAAAAATGGGGGTGGCGTTCAGTTTTGAAACCCTGGAATCTTTCTGTGGCGTTATCGTTATGTTCACTTTGTTGCAGTATGCCTTACATATTAGACATAAACACCAACTTATTATAAAAGCAATAGCCACCAACATACACATACATACATACACTTAAATTATAAATCTTTTTTAGAGTCATTCCAGCGAGTGAACAATAATCTCGCTCTTTCTCTTTAGGTAAAAAAAAATGAAGCATGTAATTTCTCTCACTTGTTATTATTCACGTTATTGATTTGACAGTTACGACGTTATTATTACTTTACTCGCAAAATAGCGTGTTTACACGGCATGTCTGACACAAAGGTGGGCATAACTAGTTCCGAAAATAAAATTGCCACCCTTTAAAAAACTAAATTTTTCAAATTTCGCGCGTTTTTCCTCTTTTTTATATTCATTCGCGCGTCGGGGGGACATTAAAGATTGAGAGTGTCGCACAATTTGAGGCCGAACTGAAAAAGATTTCTGAAGTTCTTCAAGAGAAAGAGACTGAACATACCTGGCAACTACTTGAGACGGAGCTGAAGCATTTGGCAGCGTTAACTCGTGAAATAGGAGGAGTGTACGACAATTCTTTGATTTCATGCATCAAATCCTTGAAGCTACCTATAGTGAATTCGGTAGGCTTCTCATATACTAAATAACCCTTACTAATCCTACAAAGAAAATCCTGGTGATAATTCCTAAAATTCTATATATCATTATTATGCGCGTTTTTTATGTGTTGAAACTATTCACAATGCTCCAATAAAATAGTTAGCCACAGAACGCACGCGTCTATCGGGATCAGCATGCGAGTTGGTTGAGGAGCTTGGTCGAAGTCTCGGGCCAAAGTTTGAGGTACTAGTGGACTTCTTTATGCCCGCTGTGCTGAAACTTTGTGCTCGTACAAACAAAATATTTATCACACGCGCCCAAAAATGCATCACGACAATTATACGAACCTGCAAGATTCCCGCACTCATCCCGAAATTCAAAGAAGCGCTAAAAGACCAGAATAAAGCGTTGAGAACGAGTGCCTCCGAATTTATTCTTATCAGTTTCGAGGTTAATGATGTTGGCGTGTTGTCTAAATATATTGCGGATTTGGAGTGGGCTATACGTGAAGGTGCCGTTGATTCTGCCCCGGCTGTCCGATCAACCTCGAAAAAGATATTTGAAGTCTACAAATTAAAATTCGATTTGCGGATTCAAGAGTAAGTCAATTATCAAAAACAAGTAATTCAATTTGACATATAAGTAATATTTTTAATAAATTAGACATCTTTCAATAATTTTTGTAAAATAGTTTTGTTGATACTTTGTCTTCGACCGCTCAGAAATACCTCGGGCTTCAAGATAAACAGTCAAATAAACCCGCGCGTCCTCCAATTCGCAAATACAACTCTGTGCTGGTGGGAAAAGAATTACAAAAAAAACCGGTTGAGGAAAATGATATCATTATATTCAAGAATCCTCCAAATAATAATAAAATAGAAAGTGAAAAGTCATTATCATCGTATAAAGATAACGACGACAATTCACATATAGATATTAGAGTACCGCCCGGAAGGGTTGAAAAAAAAAAATCGGTGGAAAATCTGAAATCTCAAAATCCCACATTATCTTCGTCGTCGTCGTCGTCATCATCTTATATTCCGCCATCTGAAGAAATCACCACAACAAATAATTCAGCGACATTTGTCATCACTTTTGATGAGCCTGAATCATCAGGCGCTTCAGGATTTAATGCTGCTCTCAAGCCAAAACCAAAGTTTACATCTGCTGAACGTGTCAATAATAATGTCCAAAAATTTTCTGCGTCTGCACAACGAGTACCGATTAAGCCTAAAAGAGCACAAACCGTTGCTGGTGTATCAACCAAAGGCAATGGAGTTTTGTTGAGTCTTGCTGGTAAATAAATTCTCATTCAACTTATTCCCACCTTGACTATGATAATATTCTTACCTTAGTTAATCATCAAGTTTAAAATATAAAATATTATCTATTTAAGGTGGTGCTCAAAGAGTAAAGATTAAAGAAACATCATCAACTAGTAACAACAATAATAACGAGGAAAAAAAAAGGCAGTCGGCTGTTAATAACAATAATAAGAAGCCGCTCTCCAACGTAACAAAATCAGCGACCAATTCTGTATCAAAAGTAAAATCCAAAGTCACGTCATCAAAGCCATCCGCTAAAGACAAAGTCACATCATCAAAACCGGCCGCTGACAAAGAAAAGTCCAAAGTCATGTCATCAAAATCGGCCATTGATGAAGAAAAGCCAAAAATCACTGCATCAAAAGCATCCACCGACAAAGAAAACAATAATAAAAGTGATTCGCGTCAATCAAAAAGAAAAACATTCACCGCGAGAAACAAAAAAAGTGGTCGTTTTAGTCCATATAAACGCGCCACAAAACGCATTTTTTCCAAACAACCACGAAAACCCATACCAGAGAACTCTTCGTTAGCACGAAGACAGTTATACTCTCAGAAATTAGTGGAACAAAAACAACAAGAACAATTGCAACTGCAACAAAAACAGCAGGAACATGAACAACATGATGAACAGCAAAATGAACAGCAAAATGAACACCAAAATGAACAGCAAAATGAACACCAAAATGAACACCAAAATGAACACCAAAATGAACACCAAAGTGTAGAGGATATCGGGGGAGAGGAACAGGAACAGGAACAGCAAAATGTAGAGGATATTGGAGTAGAGGAGGAACAGCAGCATATAGAGACTGTCGAGATAGAGGGACAACAACAGCATACGGAGGATATTGAAGCAGAGGAACATCAACAACAGCAGGAACAACAAAATGTAGAGGTTGTCGTGTTAGAATCAATATCTATAAATCTTGAATGATATTTTGAAAGACAAATGATTAATTATGGCAAGACTAATAAAAATTCATTTCTGATTTTTCTAAAATAAAAAAGCGGAATATATCTATCTTTTGATTTGGGAAACAGCCATTATTAACAGCAAGACAGCTAATTGTATCCGCATAATATAATTTAATATTGATAGCGTCCTATTTTTTTCTATTCCACCAAAAGAAAACCCAAAAGTTTCTTGTAAAATCCGATTTTCTCGACCAAAAATAAACTTCTGTTACAGAAGAAAGTTTCTACGTAATGTGATAGCAGACATTTATTCAACAATACGTTATTGACATTTACTAAATGAACTCGTATTTACACAAGGATTCAATACTTGTATAATAGCTTTGACTTCATAGACGGAAATGTTGGTTCAGAGGCTCACCTTCACATTATGCAAGGGAATTTTTGTTTTAATACATCATTCTACAATTGATTTATTTTAATTTATTTTAACTATGAATTGAGACACGTCAAGGATTTTTTGTATAGCTTGACATATTACTTAAAATTCATAGCCGTCTGCATAGGCCTTGACCCTGCAGAAAAGAAACGATATACAATACAGTGACTTATGTAGGACTTGTTGCATTTAAATTTGAAAGATGAATACTATAGAAATGGAGATAGAAGAGATAGAACCATTTGTTATGATTGATCCTAACATTAAAAACATTATAACGAGGCCAGGATCCAGCTCTCAAACAGCAACCACAACTACACTTGAAAATTATAAACCGCAGTCTTTCAAACAGAGTCGAACAGGCTTCGTGCACGATGAAAGGCTACGGTTTCACGCCAATTTGATCCAATCAGACTTCCACCCGGAGGATCCAAGAAGGATAACGGGTATAGCAAAGGTCCTTGAACAAAACAAATGCACAGAACAACTTGTGAAGATATCGGCAAGAGTAGCAACAAAAGAAGAGGTATGTCTGGTGCACTCCGACAAGCACTGGTGCGAAGTGGAAAAAACTGCAGGTAAGTCATCGGAATTCCCTCAGAATGTATGACCTTGATATAATTCTAATTTGGACGGAATTTATTTAGTAATGAAATTTGATCAAATAGTTGAAACTGCGGATAAATATGATTCTATTTATTTAAATAACGATTCGGCTTTCTGTGCACGTCTTGCATGTGGTGGGGTAATTGAGCTTTGTAAAGCTGTGATGCAAGGAACAGTGACAAATGGCTTTGCAAATGTCCGACCTCCAGGACATCATGCTGAACCCGAGGAGGCAATGGGATTCTGTCTCTTTAATAATGTCGCTGTCGCAGCCCAATGTCTGAGGAAACATTGTAAAGTTGATAAAATACTGATTCTCGATTGGTAAGAGGAAATAAAAAGTGTTAGTTTTTATGATGATGCGAAAGTTTAAAGAATAATATTTTTGTCATCTTATCTCAGGGATATTCATCACGGTAATTATAATATAAGGAATTTCGACGTTTTCTAATAATAACATAACATAATTATAGATAGATAACAATATTCAATTTTATTAATTAACAGGAAACGGAACACAAAAAGCATTTTATGATGACCCAAATATCATTTACTGCTCAATACATCGTTACGAAAATGGAGATTTCTATCCAGGTTCTGAACAAGCAAACTACACCCATACTGGATCGGGAGTGGCGAAAGGACGGTAAATCTTTTTTTATTTTTATCTCTTTAAATGACTAATATTTTAAAAATAACTAAAAATAACCAGAAATGTCAATATTCCCTGGCCCCGTGCTGGGATGGATGACAATGACTACATATACGCATTCGATAAGATTGTTATGCCTATAGCTGATGAGTTTGCCCCCGATATTGTTATAGTATCAGCGGGATTTGATGCTGCCGCAGGTAAATTTGGTATTTTAAATCATAAAATTGGGTTAATTTTATTAATTTAATTCTTCACAATAAAGGCGATTCAATTGGTGAGAATTATGTAACGCCAAAAGCTTTTGGACATATGACTCATCGGCTCAAAACTTTAGCAAATGGAAAGCTCGTTTTAGTACTAGAGGTGTATACTGAACTTTTTTAATTTTTAACATTCGAGAAATTTCGAGAAACTAATTTTTTGTGGAAAATTAGGGTGGCTACAATATTGATTCATTGAGTCTTTGCGCTCTAGCTTGCGTTAGAGTATTGCTCGGCGAAGCGCCAGAAAAGCTTCCCCCCATTAAACCAAGTAAAGATTGCATTGAAGCAATCCATAACGTAATGCATGTACAATCGCGATATTGGAAATCATTGGCACCTGAAGTTCCTGAAGGGATGAGAAATTATTAGGATTATTTCCATTCTAGAATTTTAATTAAATTTTAGAAAATGTACAAGGAAACATTGCTGAAAATGACCGTTTTGTATGCACAAATGTAAAACTTATGTTAATTAGAAATTTTGAAGGCATATCGTGTAAAATATCTATAAGCAATTCAGCTTCTGTATCTACAAAAATTGTTCTTTAACCAAATCACATGCGGGTATTTATTGTTGTCTATTGAGAAATGATATTAATATTTATATTTATAGAAGTTTACTGTGAAGCAATTAATTTTTTTGTATTTGTAAGGCAGACTTGAAAATTTTAAATTATTTCTGATCTGCAAGATGACTCATTTACGTGTTTTCAAGAGAATAATTTTCGCGTCATTAATTTCTTTTTGAAAACGTTCACAAAGATAATTATGAATAAGCTTTATAAAATTATCTTTAACTGGAGAATTATATCTATATCAACAACCGCACACATAATAATACCTCAACAAATAAACCGCCCGTTTTGCACTTGTAATCTTGGCTTTTTATATTTCTTACCTAGATCACGGAAGTCTGGTATACACAACATTATTAAATATAATGGATATAACTCAAATAAGCTTTTGTTGTGTTTTACCCGACATTATGAGACTGTGGCTGCACTTCCTTTACCTGTCGTTCAAACAGATATTGAAACTAGCGAGAGCATCAACCCAAGTCGAGATAATACCAAAGATATAAAAGAAGCAAAAATTGTAGATTCAATAAAAATTACGCGACCAATAGAAGAAGAGAAGGAGAAAATAAAGCTTGTAGCATCGTTGCCTGAGCAAACAATGATTCGTGATGATTCTACAAGTCAAAATCAAAAACTGGTAGATATTCTACGCCAACAGATATCAAGAGAAGAAACACCAATCGAAATCTGGAAAACGTACTCACAAATGTCCGCTAAAAATGCGTTAGATTTATTGACTCGTACCGACTACATGGACATACTCATCACTCTAAAAACTTGTGAAGCGGGCAATTTTGTCTTGAATTGTCTAAACAAAATTCGCGATGATCTCCGTTATACGGGATTAGAACTAGACAATCAAGCGTACAATTTAATGCTTCATCTTTACGGACTATGTGGAGAATATAAAAGAGCGGAAACAGTGTTAACAGAGATGACACATAAGGGTATTTCGGCTGATGTGTACACTTTAACCTCGCTAATTTCAGCTTATGTACGTACCGACAGGACGCGTCGTGCAATACAAATTTTTCGAGGGATGCAAAAGGGATCGGTTAAACCAAATATTGTGACTTACAATAATGTACTTTTAGCATATGTTCGGGAATCGGATTTTACAGGAGCGCATTTATTATTGGAAGACATGGATAAGCATAAGGTAAAGCCAGACACTACTACTTACAATACACTTATACATGGTTACATAAAAATTAATGATCTTGTGGGGGCCAACAAGTGTCTCAACATGATGGAGTCAAAAGGTCTGACACCCGATGTTTTTACAATAAACACTTTGATAGCCGGATATTGCAAGTATGAAAAAATTGAGCCCGCGATGAAACTCTATTATAAAATCTTTGATTTAAATTTACGGCCCGACGTAGATACATTCAATACTCTCATGGCTTGTTATGCGCGTTTAGGAAGAAAACCAGAAACTCTTGAACTCCTTGAAAGATTAAAATCTTTGGATAGAAAACCAAATCTTCGAACTTTTAATGTACTTATATATCTGTATACTAGGATCAACGATTACAAAAAGGCACTAGAGACTTTGGATCTAATAAAATCATTGGGCTTTAAACCTGACGTGGTAACATACAATACATTTATTGCTGGATATGTTAAAAAAAATAAACTCAATGAGGCAATAAAATGGTATGAAACATTGAAATCTGAGGGGCTTTTACCAAATGTGGGAGTATTTAATACACTTCTTCGAGGTCATCTTTGGGAATACGGTATGTTGTCGGCCGGTAAAATATTTGAAGAAATGCTAAAATATAACGTTGAACCGGATAGTATCACTTATAACACATTAATGCAACATATAAGGCTCCAGTGTAATTCTGATGCATTCGGACAAGCGGTTTACCAATATGAGCAAATGTTAAACAGTAGCGTACGTCCATCTGGTCGAACTTTTGGTATCATGTTAACTTTAGCAACTGAGAATGCTCTTAGCCAAAATTATCCCAACTATAGATTCACACAAACTAACGTGCGCGATGGTGAAATAGATTTCATTCTTCGCGAGATGAAGCTCATGGGAATAAAGATGGATATTGCGACCTTTGCTATCATGATTAGGTATTATATTAGGCGTGGAGACATGGAAAGTGCCACAGAATTATTTCGGAAAATGATGGCTAAAGAAATATATCCCAACAAATTTGTTTACGCTATTTTGATCGATGGATACGTAAAACAACGGAAAATGAATATGGCTGAGCAGGTTGTCGAAAAGATGAAAAAACAAGGAATAGCTAAAGACTTGCACATTTACACGTCTTTGATCAATGGGTATGTTGCATTAGAGGAATATGGTGAAGCTGCAAGAGAATTTGCAGAAATGAAACATGCAGGAGTGGAGCCCGATAAAATGACTTACACCTCGTTAATAGACATGTATGCTAAAAACCACGATATCGAAACAGCTCAAAATCTATTCGATTATATGCAATCGAGTGGAATTCCAATCGATGTTGTCGCTTTCACTGCTCTGATAAAAGCATATGGCAAAAATAGGAAAGCGGCCAGCACAATATACCATGAAATGATTGCCTCCGGACATGCACCAGATCACGTTTTGATCCAGACAATGCTTCGTACATATAAAAACCCAAAGATCTTGAATGAGCCATCTGTCCCGGAATTAGAATATACCACCGAATCATATAACAAATTATTGCAAGAGTTAATTGATCAACCAGATACTGCAGAACTTGGATATGAGATTTTCATCGGAATGTTAGCAAGTGACAAAAATTCGATGATGCATTCACAATCAGCAAATCAACCTTTCTCTGACAAATATTATTGTAATGATAAATCACTTCCTGCAGTTAATGAGAACACATTTCACATTATATTTGTACATTTAATCAAGCTTAATAATTGGCCTTGGATCTGGAAAATATGGGATGTTATAACGAAGATGAAATATGATCGAATTCCCGAAAATATTTACTTGATTATTATAAAGGCACTCGTATTAAAAGGGGATGAACTTGAAAATGTTATAGTTATGTGGAATAAGTTTCTGCAAACCAATCCAACTGCACATTCGTTAAAGCAGATGAAGGCTTTCATTGAGAGAATGGGAAATGATTTTGAAGATTAAGGAGTAATCTATTTAATTAATAATTCAACAAACTGGTATTTTGCGGCAATTATAAAGTATGGAAATTTAAGTTTTATAAAGCATTTATTGTAAAATCTTATTAGTACCTGAATAGTGAGAGCTCTTAACCTTTGACCAAAGAAGAAACCCTATCATCGTAGAAAGAGATGAAATTTTACTCTTCGGATCTTTCTGCTTTCATCAGCTATAGGCCGATTATCATGTTGGTTAATTTGTTAAAAATCTTTAACTTAGAAAGCTACCAAATGAGACGAAATCACGGGGTTTTAAAAGACGCGACATGGAATTTTCCGAAAGATGAACTTTCAAATTTATCAATCCGCAAGAAAGTATTTTTATATGATGATATTCATTAGATATGTATTTGCCAGTAAAGCGGCTCGATGATTATATAAGTTAGCTCGTAACTTGATCCCGAGTTAACCGCCTTGTTTTAAAGTATAAAGGCATGTAATAGTAGATCAACATTCCTATCGAGTATTTATTTACATATGTAAAAATCATTTTTGTAGTTCAAATTGCTTTTTACAAGATAATGTGAAGGTGCAATAACAAAACTTTGACAACATTCTTTATCTCACAAAGCAAGATTTCCAAAATCCCTAATTCATATAGCTCTCGCAACTATGATTATCGTCGTGCAGTATTCTGCTGCTTGCTCCATCCCTTCTGTAAAAAATGAGAAATAATATTTTCCATCTCTTTAACTGTATCACGCCATTGAAGTATCGTTTCGATAGTGGCACATAGCTTTTGTTCGGGCGGAATGCTGCTACCAGCGCCTACTGCCGAGTTGGCTTTATTATAGTTTTTGACCCGATGATCTTCCTCGTCTTGTTCATAGAGAACAGTGTCCACCACTTTATTGATGAAATCACATAGTTGTGGGACCAGTCGTGTCACTTTATCTACTTGTTCGATTGACGGTATAATTCGGTCCACGTCATTGACTTCGAGAATTAGCATGATTTCCTGTTTTGAATTAAATTTTGAATTTCTTTTTTCATTGATCTAGACTATTGAAAATTATTTAATTCACCTTTATCAGTTCCGCAAGTTTCGTCTCATCGAAATTATCTACTCTGCCCAATTGTAGCTTATAATAAAGCTTGTCTTTTTTAATATTATTGCGTGTTTCATCCAGTTTCGTTGCTTTGAAACCTATTGATCCAAAACGTCATTATACTATGTAAAAATAATTCAGAGAACTCGAAAATTATACAAATTACTACACTTTTTCCGAGTGGCCTTGTATTTTTTTTATATGCAAGTAATTCTAATTTCAGCCTTTCATTTTCTTCGCGTAGCTGCTCAATTTCGCTTGCGTGATTATGAATGTTCTGATGTAATGTATGAGAATTATGTCAATATATTAATAATCGCATTAATGAAAAAAAAAATGGCGCGTCTCACTTCATCTCGATCGTATTCTGTTCTATGATTTATTATTGGTGTATCATAATTTAACGGTGCAAACTGTAGAATATCCGCGATAAGGTCAATGAGAATTTTTAAAATTAATAGAACAACCAGGTAAAGAATTTCTTACCGAAAGGTAATTATCAGATAATAAATTATTTTTGTCCTTTGTGATTTTTCGTTCGCCCAAAGCTTGTTGCAGTATCGTACATTGTTGCGTGAGTTCATTAACTTTTATTTTTGAATCTTCAAGACTCGAGGAAAGACTTTGAGTTTGTCGTAAATTAGCTTCCAAAGCATCCTAAATTAATATTATGTTTGCGAGATTAATGACAGATAAAAAAACAGCATAAACATTTTCAGGATATATACCTTCAAATCATGAATGAGTTGTTCATCGATCTGAGGTCCGGCCGTGTTTTTGATTTCAATGTCTTGTAATGAATAATCATTGGAATTCCTCTAAGAAAACGCGCAAATGAATTTCAATTTATTTTTTACGTAGTAACGAATTCTTTAATAATTGAGATTTTACCAAAAACAGTGATGTCGATTCCTACATATTTAAATCAAAAAAATTAGATTAAGGAAAATAAACAGAATTACATGATATTTCTAAATACCTGCATATAATTCAAGAGTTTTTCGGATTGCATCTCGACTGTTTTTTTGTCTTCCGTGTCTTGTATTTTGGGTTGCATTTCGGTTGAAGGTGCTGACACTGTTTTTTTATGATCATTATCATCACCACCATCGCCAGCATAATCGTCATCATCATCATCATCAACATCATCATCATCATCATCATCAGCATCATCATCAGCATCATCATCATCGGATTTTGTCTAAACTCGATAAGCAAGTTTTTATATTTAGTTTAACGCCAGCAGAATTAAATAAGCTACTTTTGATATATTATACCTTGAAATCATGGATAGGTTCCTCATTAACATTAATTTGAGGTTCGATATTATTTTTGTATTCTGTGTCTTGCACTTTTGATTGTGATCTATTTGAAGAAATAGATGCTGAATCCTGTTCATCAGGGTTGATCTAAGTTTGATCAAAAAAAAACAATTTAAAGTTTTGATTTATTAACAGCCACTAAAATTTAATAATAATCGGTTTTACCAGAATCGGCGTGTTTAGTTCCTATATTATTAAATTAAGGAATATTTTATTTAAATCATCAAAATTTTTTCCAGGTTGACCTTCGACTTACCTTCAAATTATTGCTGAGTTCTTCATAGATTTGAGATTGGCTGGCATTTTTGTTCTCTATGTCTTCTATTGTTTCTTGGAAATCGATCGAGGAAATTGGGACTGCATTATTATTTTCCGCAGATTTTAGCTATACTCAATGGCATTAATTTATGAGTATTGAACTATTGTCCAACTGCATAACTTTTTTTTTGTCTTTGCTAAAATTGTTACCATAGTTGTTATTGTCGATTCCTATAATTAAATCCAAGAGAGATCGATATTAAAGGGATTGAAAGTTTCAAAGTAGAACCTGTGTTTCAATTTACCTTCTGCAAGTCATTATTATCACGAATATTACTTTGAGGTTTGACGACAGATGTAATTTTAAGCTCAGTATTTTCTCGCGTTTGTGTTTGCAAATTTGTCGAGGGCTCTGGTTCTGAATTATTTTTTGTCTAGTTATGTGCAAAATAAAAATACTTTATTATATGAACGTGAATCTTTTTCTTGGGAATCACGAATTTTTCTTAAAGATAAATAATAAACGGTTTACCGGAATCGATTTTGAAAGTTTCTAAAGGATAATTAATTGTTCATTAATATGAATTTTACAATTCATTCAATCACGAATTACGACATACTTCTGGTAATACTGCCGACTCAGTTTCCGCGTCTGAAGACCGCTCAATCATCCTTCTTAATTTCGAATAATCGACATTTCCTGTCTGATTATCCATGATAACCTTAGTGACTTGTGTGGACCGTTCGATCCGTTGAACTATAAAAATGTAACACATGTGTGTATGTGTCATATATATAATTAATCAAAAAGCCAACCTCATTTAATCTAGATATGAAATCTGAAAAACTCACCAATATTATTATTATTACTATTATTTCTAACAAAATTACTGCCAATATTATTTCCAATATTATTATAATTATTGCCAACATTATTATAATTACCACCATCAATATTATCACCAATAGAAACATTAGCAATAACTGATGCCGCCTCAGTGGCGTTAGTAGTCGTGCTCAGAACACTCAATGTCGACAAATCATTAGGTGAAATGTAAATTGTCGGATCGTAGACGTGCGACGGAGAGTGGTAGTCTACACTAGTGAGCAAAGAACCAAATTCTCGTTGATTAACTTCTGTAAAGAGTTGTTCCTCTTCTTCTTCTTCTTCACTGCCACCACCAGTAGCGCGAGGTCTCACTATGAGAGAAGGAGTAATTTCTGTAATTGTTCTGTTTTTTTCTCCGTCTTCGGTGAACGTAAAGGAGTGATTTGTGTCGCTTCTTGTTGTTCTTGTGAATTTACTGGTACCACTGTCCGGTTTCTCTTTTTGCATTTGGGAATGGAAAGACATTGTGATATCAATGATAGAATAGTCGCGTCCAAATCAATGTTACGCGTTGTCGTTCCAAATTTCCCACGATCGTCGACATCGTACTTAAAATCCGATCTAAAATGCCTCGGAACAAGAGGCTTCTTCTCCAAAATAATCATATTTGCATATTTCAATTATTCCAAAGAAATTATGACCGACGAACTTCCCCCGAATGCGTTTAGTCTTTGTCACGTGCATTTTCTCTGCATGCAATTCATGCATTTAGAACAATGAATCTTTACCGATTTAAAGGAGAACGAGGTCCGTCCACCCTTTAGTTTATATATATATATAGACACGGATATACTTGACTGTTGTACTTTGAAACTTTGGAAACAATTTACTCTCAATATCACTTTTCTATCTACTACTTACTATTCAACCCTCGAAAGCTGAATAAAAACACCATTACAAATGTCGAGTGCCGCGAATATCCTGTTAAAGCAATTTAAAGGTCATTATTACGATTATTGTGCTTTGACTTGACCTAAACACATACATTTACTAGCTTGCATAAAATAACGTTTCTACCTATTTTTTCTTGTTGACTTTGTTTTTTAGAACTTACCAACAATCCTGTGCCTGGCTTTACTGTAGCTTTGCACGATGATAGCAACGTGTTTGAATGGTAAAGAAAAACCTCGTTGTCTCGACTTCTAACTAATCTTACTCGATCTTTACTCATCTATATACTTGTATTCTTTTCTTTCTGATTTACCTTCTGATTTCTAGGGATGTTGGCATCATAGGTGCCCCAAATACGGTATATGAAGGTGGTTACTTCAAGGTATTAGACGCATCAAGAAATTTGGTTGTTTATAAAGTTGTACTTAAAGACAAATATTTAAACAAAAACTTTTTAAAGGCGGTGCTTAAATTCCCAAATGACTATCCTTTCAATCCACCAACCTTCAAATTTAATAATGACTTCTTCCACCCAAATGGTAATTTGAATTGAATGGCATTTACTCATGAATATCTTATCAAAAATGCCGACTCGCATAATAATTTACTATATTTAATAGTCTATTCCGATGGCCGCCTTTGCATATCCATTCTTCATCCCCCAGGTGATGATCCTACTAGCGGAGAGACTGCAGCGGTACGTCGATGATCATTGTAAGGGAAAACTATATGAAAAATAACTTGAACTAACTGCAAAGTCTATTTTTGATATTAGGAACGTTGGAATCCAACACAAAGCGTAGAAAGTGAGTTCTCTATTGCTAAGATATTCACTTCGACGAATCCACTAAACAAATAATTCATCATTTCATGATATTTCCTTTTTTCATAGGTATTCTGATAAGTATTGTAAGTTTACTAGTGGATCCCAATTGCTCAAGTCCCGCCAATGTGGTACGTAGATTTCATGATCAAATGAATACTCTTCCAAATTGTCTATTATGCTATAATGCCACTTATATTTACATAGTGAAACTTATATTCATATTAATATTAGGATGCCGGGGTAAATATTTTAGCTATATATTCTCACGCACAATATTATATGCTATTTAAAATTAGTAGTGATCGTTCTACTTAAAATTTTCACCATGATTTTTTGTAGGTCATGTATCGCAAAGAACGAGAAGCATATAATTCTGTAGTTCGAGGTTGGTATTAATTGATTGATTAGATTGACTTCAAATAGATCCGTATAAAGACATTTAAATTTCTTTATTTGTGCAGCACAAGTAGAAGCTTCAAAAAAAGATATTCCAGCTGGATTAAAAATACCTACTCGCGGTTAGTTTTATACAGTATTTTTTTTTTTTACTTGAGATTTCAGATAAATTAATCAAAGAATCTAAATAATACGCAGAAGATGAATTCGTTCTCCATAAACCAAGGATGGAAGACGAGCACGATGATAACTTCTGGTATGAACCGTCCGACGAAGACGAAAATATAGACGAGGACATGGAAGAATATGGAACTTCTGAAGAAGACGACGAAGACGAAGATGATTGAATCCTTTACACTTAGAACAGCGTAATAGTGTATACATACACAAACAAATATAAACTTGTTCAATCAATCATAAATCAATACATATATAGAATAATGTTAAACTCTTTAAACTACCTCGCTGTTAACGCATCATTTCCCCCTAAACTAAACCACCTTCTTTTCTGTATTATAGAAACTTGTAAATTGCGATCATCAATGACTTTATTTTATTCTTCATCTTTGAATTTTTCATTATAGAAATAAATAAAGGTTGGGTTGGTTTTTATATGTAATTATAGAGATCCTTTTTTTTTTTAATAATTCCTCTCGACGTGTTATTTATTATTTCTAGAAAACGAAAAAAGCACTACTAATAATATTAATTGATTTTTCTGTGACAAGAGCTTAATTTTATTACTACTGCTATTGTGATTATTGCGTTGCTTGAGCACGACGCCTATACACGAAGAAATTTTTAAGTTAGCAAATACTTTAATAAAAACATCCAATATAAAAAAAAATACAAACCTATCACGTTCTTCGGCAATAGTAAGCTAAATTAAAATTATGAAATCAGTTATTATATTTATGCGCTCGAACATTACATGTATAAATTTCAATTCATAAAAATCACTCACTTTGACACCTTTGCCTTTAGGCAATGATATAAATGGCTTGTTGCTTTCCCCAATCACAAAAACATTATTAAGACGCGTGGCAAATTGTCTCTCTTGAGAATCTTTTACATGGACAATCTAAGGATGGAAAAAAAATTATAGCATAATTTTTTAGAATTGTTAATATTCAAAAAAAATTCACTTACGTTATAACCTCCGATATGTTTTTCTCTACATATTGATCAAGATGAAGATAATTATTAATACCAGCACAATCAAAAATAAATCAAATAAATGATATATTACCGATGTGTTATAATTCCAACACGTCCCATATTACGGCCACCCGTTATCATAGCGATATTTCCCACCTCAAACTTAATAAATTCGGTAACCTTATTAGTTTCAATGTCGAATTTGATCGTGTCGTTGACTTTAATCAGCGGATCCGGGTAACGAATAGTACGTCCGTCATGTGTGACAATAAATGGAATTCCCTTGGCGCCAACTTGCATTTTTTTCACTTTACACAATTTGTACTTTGCTTCTTCCGCGGTGATTCTGTGAATGGTGAAACGTCCCTTAGTGTCGTAGATTAGACGAAAGTTTTCGCCAGTTTTCTCAATTGTAATTACATCTTCATGTATTGTCATATAAGAAATATATCGATTTAGCGAGCGTGATATTTATTGGAATGGTATTCGATCAAATAAAAAATTACCCATAAATCCGGCCGGAAATTTTGTGTCGGTCCGCACTTTACCATCGACCTTCACAAGACGTTGCATAAGAATACTTTGCACTTCCTTACCAGTAAGTGCATACTTGAGACGGTTTCTCAAAAAGATAGTTAAGGGTAAGCACTCACGAAGTTTATGGGGACCAGGGGAAGGTCTTGGTGCCTAGATTATCATTGATGATGCTATCAGTCATTAATTGAATCAATAATATTTCGAAATTTGATATATTGAGTAATTACATAAGTCCCAGTGAGTTTGTCAAGCATCCAATGGCTCGGTGCGTTGATTCGCTTCAAGTGTTTTCTCGGTCCGCGTGCCTAAAAGACCCAAATCAAAAATTGTATTACTCTAGTTCGTTTCATGCCAGTTTACGAGATAACAGTGAAAATGTGTTGATTATTCGAGTTATTTAAATGGATGGATTGATATCTATTTGATTTATTCTCGCTCGGTTTTAAAAATGTAGAATAAGTGATAAAACATGAAATACAATATTCTTTTTTGTAATTCAAAAATTCGCGCTACTGTTGTAAGGTTTCTCGAGTCTTCGGTTACTCGATATGAATTTTGAAAACGAACTTTGTAATTTCATACCATAATTAGATATTTAAGTAGATAGAGCCAACGGCGAAAAGAGAAACCTAAAAAAATTTTGAATGAAGAAACTTTTTCAATAAAAAAAGATGACGTAAGCAAATCTGAGTTAACATCTAGCGCTTGTAGATTACGCTTACGCACGCTTGCTATTTTTATATATAATTTAAATTTTTGTTTATTACTACTATTACTTTCGCTTTTAAATTACATGGCGCGCGACACGAAACCTACAGCTGTTCCTGTGGAGGACACTCCCATGAAGGACAAAAAGGCCAAAGAAGAGGGAAAAGAAAAAAAAGCAGGCGGAAGTGATAAAGACAAAAAAGACGAAGTCGAAGAATTGGTTAGTCTGAAAGCAGACATTTTTCAGTCTCTGCGTTAATTAGTTAAGAGCCTCAGCTTTCTCCGGGATGTTTCTCGGTTAATATTTCGATAAAATGAATTTGGCTCCTTTGATGCCGTTAAAGTATACATATACACATATCTAGAAAATCTCGAATCCTTAACCGCGTCTTGTTCTTTGAAAAAACGCGGTTTTTCAGTCAGTAACCGAATTCTCTTTAATCGTTATTTTGTCTAACGCCAAACAAACACACTTAGTCTGAAGAAGATTTGCAATTAAAAAGTGAATTGGAAATGTTGATTGAACGATTAAAGGTTTAAATTTTCGAAATCTAATTTTCGACTCGTGATTTTCGGAAATAAGTTGAATCTGACATTTGTTTTTTGATTTCAGGAAAATAACCTTGAACTTCACAGACCAGCATTGGAAAGTTTACGGACCCTGATCCGCACATCCACCAGTTCAATGACTTCGGTTCCAAAGCCATTAAAATTTTTGCGGCCTCACTATGGATCAGTGGCTGAAATATACGAAAGTTGGGAACCATCTGACAACAAGGTCTATATAACTATTAAGTGTTTATTATTTGATCTTATTTGTATCTAATAAAATAAACATTCAATTTATAGCTTGCACTCGCCGACATCTTATCAGTTTTGGCTATGACATATGATGAAGGAAAAAGAGATTCTCTAAAATACAGATTACAAGGATCTCGTGAAGATCCTGGATCGTGGGGACATGAATATGTGAGGTAAGCTTTTTCCAAAATTTGCTTTTTATTTACTATCAGATGATCACTCAATTTATTTATTTTTTAAATAGACATTTATCTACTGAAATCGGTCAAGAATTCTTGCATCGATCCGAACAAGAACTTCCCGTAGATGATTTGATGACACTTGCTCTCGAGATAGTTCCTTTTTTCTTGAAGCATAATGCTGAAGCAGATGCTGTTGACCTATTATTAGAGTTAGAAGCAATTGATCAGTTACCACAATTTGTTGATAAAGATGCATACGCGCGCGTTTGTTTGTACATGGTCAGGTAAAGAAACATTCAGCTCCCATTTGTTTGCTTTCTAGATATCCGAGTTAGTGAATTCAATTCGATTCGATTCGATTCGATTAAATTGATTTGAAATTACTAGTTGCGTTAACTTATTGGTTCCTCCAGATGATGTTGCCTTTTTTCGTACCGCACATACAATATATCGTCAACATAATAAGTATACCGAGGCGGTATCTCTCGCTGTCCGACTCCAGGATCTTGATTTGATTCGGGAGGATTTTGAACAAGCTGGAAGAGTGGACCCGTATGAAACAATTACTTTATATTTTTAATTAACGATTTATCTTAAACTAATTAGAGTGATTTTTATATGATCAGTTTACTGCAGAAACAAATTGCTTTTCATTTGGCAAGATCTCATATATTGTTAACAACTGAAGACGAATCAATTCAGGAAATATTAAATAACACTCATCTATCGAAACATTTCATCGCACTCGCTAAAGAACTTGATGTCTATGAAGCAAAAACTCCTGAGGATATCTATAAAAGTCATCTGGAAAATATCAGTGAGCTTAATTTTTTTAGTTAATTCAATTTGGTTTGTTTTATTTGTTGACAAATAATTATTTCGTTTAGGGCCCGGATATACAAGCGGCAATGTAGATTCGGCAAGGCAAAATCTGGCGTCGACGTTTGTTAATGCGTTCGTGAATGCAGGATTTGGAAATGATAAATTAATATCGATCGAAGAAGGAAATAACTGGATTTACAAAAATAAAGATCATGGTAAAGTTTTAAAACGCTATTTGGGCAAATGACATAAAATTCTTGCTGACTGAATGCGTTATTTTACTAGGAATGCTAAGTGCCGCTGCCTCCCTAGGGATGATCATGTTATGGGACACTGATGTTGGTTTATCACATATTGATAAATATACTTTTTCGACGGAAGATAATATCAAGGTGATTGTTTTTCACACTTATTGTTCCCCGAACTTAAAAAAAGAGGCGTGGTCTGCCTCAATCCATCACTATCCTTATGTATTGAGCGCGCTCTTCTCATAATCCGTACCTACAACCAATTGTTGGTTGGTACAATTGCTATTATTTTGAGCATTGATTCATCAACAAATTGTTCAATAATTGCTTGTAGGTACGGATTATTTAACAAAAAAAGCACAGTGCTATATGTAAACGCATATTTGCCCGGTAATTTTCTCTTGATCCTTGCCTCTTCGTCAAAGTTACATGTCTGACGCGTTGTCAGGATATTTCAGGCAGGAACTTTTCTTGCCATTGGTCTTGTACACGCGGGTGTAAGAAACGAAAATGATCCTGCTTTTGCATTGTTGTCCGAACAAATTGAGAATAAGTCTGCGATAATACGAATAAGTGCTATTGTTGGGTACGTTTTTTAAATTTTTGGTATTATGCCATTGACCCGGACTGATTAACTTGAAAAAATAGACTTGGAATGGCATATGTCGGATCACATGACGACAAAATACTAGAGTTGCTTTTGCCAATGGTAAACGACACCACATTAAGCATGGAAATTGCTTCACTGGCCGCTTTATCTCTAGGAATGATATTTGTTGGTGAATGTCACGGCGAAATAACAAGTATCATTCTACAAACTATGATGGAGCGTGATGACTCGCAATTGAAAGAAACCTGGGGAAAGTTTATGGGACTTGGATTAGCGTTATTATATCTTGGTACGATGTAATGGAATTTTGGCAATTCATACGTTTTATGATTAAGTAAATTAACAAGCATTATTTGAATAGGCAAGCAAGATGCCGCTGAAGTTACCTTGGAGACTTTAAAGGCTATTGATCATCCCATTGGAAAACAGGTTGCTGTTTTAGTTGAGATTTGCTCATATGCAGGTTTGTATTTCATTATTGATTTTTATTATTGATTTTAAATTAATTATTTCTTAAAAGAGTGAAAATCGATTTCCAATTTTTTCTACAGGCACTGGAAATGTGCTAAAAGTGCAAAAAATGTTACATCTATGTAACGACCATTTAGACAAAGAAAAAGATGATGACCTGCATCAAGCTTTCGCCGTAATTGGAATTGCTTTGATCGCTATGGGCGAAGATATTGGTGCAGAAATGGCAATGAGATCATTTAACCACTTGGTAATTATGATCGTATTCGGAGTTTAAACAGTTACTAGTTTGTGTAATTGTCAAAATTAAACATACTTAATGTGGTATTAGATGCATTATGGCGAACCCGTGATTCGTCGTGCAGTTCCTTTAGCATTAGGATTACTCTGTGCTTCAAATCCTCTTCTAAGTGTGATGGAGACACTCAGTAAATATTCGCATGACAACGACACTGAAGTTGCGATAAATGCTATATTTTCTATGGGTCTTATCGGAGCGGGAACAAATAATGCACGCCTTGCACAAATGCTAAGGCAATTGGCTTCTTATTATCACAAAGAACCGAATTGTTTATTCATGGTTCGAATTGCACAGGTAAAATTTAGCGAGCTGTGTTAAACTTGTGTATTTTAGTTAACGGTATGATAAATTATGTTTGTAGGGTCTCCTACATATGGGTAAAGGGACAATATCGGTCAATCCATTCCATTCTGATAGACAATTGATGTCTTCAGTCGCGATTGCTGGTCTATTGGCAACCATCATCGCTTTTACAGATGCCAAGACGCGTAAGTTTATGAATATTTTTTCGTCTACATAAATTTCAAAATTTGACTTTTGATAAATTTTCTTGTAGTTATTCTGAACAGACACCACTGGTTCCTTTTTTACCTAACCACTGCCATGTATCCCCGATTTTTGATTACACTCGATGAAAACTTGAACAGCTTACCCGTGACAGTTCGTGTAGGACAGGTCTGTCATCAAGAAACGAATGATTTGATTAGTCTAATAAATAAATTACCAGGATGATACTAATAATCATGGTAATATGCAGGCTGTTGATGTGGTGGGACAAGCTGGTCGACCTAAAACTATTACTGGGTTCCAAACTCATTCCACGCCTGTCTTGTTGGCGCATTCAGAACGTGCCGAAATAGCGACAGAAGAATGTAAGTATTTTTGACACAAAAATCCATTGTTTTTTATTATAATTTTGAATTTAGGTGACTATATACATTATTTGACTTTTAGATATTCCCTTGTCGCATGTTCTCGAAGGATTTGTCTTGCTTCGAAAGAATCCTGATTTTATGGAGGAAGATAAAGATTAGAAAAGAAATAATCATTATTATTATTATTATTATTATAGGGGATTCTCTCAAAAATAATATCTTATAATAGAACATTTATCTTTTATTATTAATTCATACACATTTTGCGTTCATGTATGTAGATTTTTATTCCCCCAGTCTAGCCATAGCAAATTTGTATTGATTGAAAATAATAAAACAATGGTCAATTTTCATATACTTATATTCTAAATCAAAAATATATTTATTTGTAAGGGAAGCGGTTGGTATAGTGGAGGATGTGATATATAGCCAAAATAGAAGCGAGAAATTTTATCGTTTGATTAAAAAAATAAGATGGCAGAGGATTTTGGTCTCTTACTAGATAGATGAATTATTTTAACAAAAACGATAAAAGGTGCATTTTTTGGCTTCAGTGTTTTTTTTTGATATAAAAAAGTAGTAGAAAGAGTATTGGGCTTTTTTTGCCAGATCAACGAATTTTGTCGTTCTTAGATTTTCTCCATTCCGCGTAGTCATCGAACACGCAAGGCCCTATGGTTGGGAATCAAAATTTGAATACATTTTTTTGTTGTAAAAATTTGAATCAAGCAAAGCAAGAAAAATTCTGACAATACATGCTGATTCTAAGTCGTAGTTCGAAAGAGTGTCATCAATTGTGTTGACAAATTCTAGAAAGTTGGTCCATTGATCTCGGGTAAGAACCTTTGGCTGCTTCGCTTGCTATTATTGAATGAATAGCGCTCGTGGTGAGAGGAGTTGGAGTTTTTCTTAGAATATGGGTGATAAATTCATTACCTTTAAGAATTCGCTGAATTCCTTTACATGAGGAGTAGGTCTTTTTGCAAATAATTGATCCCACATATATATCGCAACCTAAGATTTATTACATTATGAATAAGATTTTTCTGAATAATTTGTCGAAAGGATATATAGTAAAGTAAATACCTCGACGTCAATACATTTCTGATTTTTATCTTTGACATAGTCGAATGTGTAACGATAAAGATCCTTAAACAGATCAGGAGATGTAAGAGTATTATTCAGTTCTGGTAACTTCAACTTCAGCTGCTCATTCGATTCGATCCTGGACAAGCAAAAGCGTCGGGTAAGACGAATTATATGTGCAAATTATAATAAAATGAAAGACGAAGGAATGAGATACTTAACCCCCATTTTTTAAATCCAGACATCCATTCTTCTTTTGTTACGTAACCTTAAAAAACCAAATGAAATTAACATTTATTTTTGGCACGCCTATGAAATATTTCTGAAAAAACGTGTGTTTTTTTTTTAATTAGCGCACCCATGGTAGAGACTCTCAATTTCCAACACAGCAAAAGCGGATACTCCTAAAAGATAGTCAAGTAAAATGATAATTCGAGGATCAAAGGGTATTCATTAATTCACATAAATCCAAAGAAACTTACGCTGTCCATATTAACGCGCAAATCATTCATCCATTGCTCAAATCCCTGATGTCCAATTCTACCTTCTTCATCTTCGGAATCTGACGATAAAAATTATTTGGGTAGATTGTGCATAAATCAAAAAAAGATCAATTTTGATAATAAACATTGGTTTCTTTATTAACCTTTATATTGATCAAACCATTGCTGAAGTTTTTCATCAAAACTTAGAACACGTTGTCTTTTGGCCCTTGCATAGAAACACAGTGCAAACAAAGAGAAAAAGTAACAGAACCAAAGGCGGAAATTAGAATTATATGCCGAGTTTTCCTCACAAAGGATACAAAGTGTGAGACTTCAAATACATACGTCCTTGGAGCTGGATTTTGCGGAGAAGGAGCATTTGCACGTTGAGTATTAGTTTTAGTTCTACGGCCTCTCGAGCTAGTCGATGCTGTAGTTTGGTTTTGCCTTGCAATGGTATTACCCATGCCACGCGAAGTGGTTGACCTTGTTTGAATCGTACGTGGAACGGTGAAAGTGTTGGACTTTTTGTTGTTGGGCATAACAGGAGGAAAGGTTTAGTAATTATCTCGAGAGAATTTGAAGACACTTTCTTGACTCAAGGTAATAAAATGCGAGTACACGATCAAAAATATACATTATGTACAGATCTGTTTGATGATCAGCCTCGATACAATCGCGGCGCTATTACAAATCCCGCATTCATCACACCTAATCGTAATGTCATGTTTGATAAATCCAAAGGACTACTCTTTGAAACCAAGATATTTGTGAAATTGGCGATAAGCATCCTAAACTGACTATCAATTGTACAGAATTTTTTATAATTGGAAATTCCTTCACAAAACCAGGGGGTAAAATATGGTAGTTGGTCGCCTTGCCTTTTTACAATTTGGGTGTTCTCTCCCATTTAGATTTTATTTGTTAGTGATATATCAGTCATTACTTTCACATCAGATTTCATATTAACGGAATGAGTTCTAGTAAAAGCGTCTAAAATTCCTCAAGAATTGGAAGTCAAACATCATTATTGTAGGTTTTGATCCATAATGATTGAGATCAACTCTTTTTTTCACTTATTTTATGGAATTGGAAAAAGGTCAGTAAAAAGATAATGTTAAGAATCTTTTCTCCTTAATCACACTATAACGAGAATGACTTTGTAGATAGATAGATATATATCTACCGCGGTTAAGGATTTTTAAACAGTCCCAATCACTAGCGGATGAATATTTAACTATTATATTTATGAACCCATTATCAGATTCCAATTAGTAGATTAAAATCGTCTTGTAACTCAGAAACCAATAAATCTTAAACTATAGTCAACTAATTGCACAGTCATGATAATTATGGCTCCAAGCAAAGCTGTAGGAAAATCCCACAGACGCCATTAACCATATTCAAAAATTTTCTTTCCTCCCAACTTATTATCAACCCACCCACACCAGCTGCACGTCTTGCTCGTGTAGGCCTCTGACACAAAGAACAATTGTTTTCCAAATTCCTCCGCCTTTGACACAAGCCTCTCTCTAAATCTCGCATGTGCCCACATCACCATCTTGCACCGGTTTGTTAACCTTCCGGTGCTTTCGTCTTCCCATCTCTCCACTATTTAAACTCGGTAATTATTTATGAGACGTCAAATTTCCAGATAAGCCACAGGGCAGTCTTTATGGCACTCGTCAACGAGATTACGAATACGACGGTGCATTTGTAGGCATGTCGCATGGAGTTTCGTTTTCAAGCAGCAGTTCGTGCTGTACGAAGTATTAGATTGTCAAGAGCAAGACAAAGGCGAACAAGTTTCTGAGCGTCTTCTTCCCACGAACGAATACCACGTTTGAAATGTCGAACGACTGGATCTAATGAACAGCCATTGAAGCTTCCCGTTTGGTTCCTAATGACTTTTCATAGACCAAAACGAACGTCCACTAGCGAAGCAGGCGGTCTCAATATGATCGAGATTTCGTACTTGGTATTTTGAATGAATACATTTCAGGATGTCCATTCTTTCTACGATCTTCCTTTTTTTGGGAATGTCCATTGTCATGTTTCCCTTTTGGGAATATAATCGTGTCACAACCGAACCATTGTCATATTTTTTTGTGAATGGAATATTGTATTTTTCTTTAGGAACTAACGCTAATAATGCTGAATGCTACGATAAAACATTATTATTCGGGTAATTTTAATGTCATAATTCTGGTCAAGATTACATGATTAAAATTCAGAGAATTTGCTATTCAACTACTTGATCCCCTGTTCTTGATTCGACGGGAAATTTGATTCAGCTGCGCCATATGTTATTAGGCATTAAACTACCGAGCGATTTGGCAGATTTAACGTTAAGTAATTATATTACTCAATTAATGGCTCTTTCACCACGCGTTTCGAATGAAAAATTATTACCAACCACCACAACAATCGAAAAAATAATTTTAAATAATGATAAGACAGAAAATTCTAAGGTCAATGTATCTGACACTTCAAAAGACGCGCCTTCAGAACCAAATCAACAAATATCAGAAAAAGAAGAATTAAAAGTGGTAGAATCAATTAAAAACGAATTACCAAAAGACGTAAAGTATAATACTCTCTCAAATTCGAATTCTACAAACTTGGAGGAAAATTCTCCCAGTCTTGATATTCGACCGGAAATTGAATCAATTCAAGCAAAAAATAATCAAGAAACAGAGACTGATAACATAGACTCAAATGTTCCAGACGTAGCATTAAAATCTATAGAAAAAGATGATGATGAATCATTAAAGAATTCACATGCTGTAATTGAAAAAGAGGATAGTCATAGTCTATCGATTAAACGTGACATCGAGAAGGTAATGCGAATTTATTTTCTCTTTGATAAAGTAAAAATAGTATTTACAAAATTTTTTTAATTTTCTAAAATAGGGTGTTATAACTTTATCATCCGTTAACAGTGAAGTTAGTGATTTGGATCCCGAAATAATAAAGCTTGATCAAATCCCAAAGGTGAAAAAAGTTATACGACGCGAATTGATTTTTCCAAAATTATTAAATTTATTTATTGGTTGAATTGTACAACAGTTTGAGCCTTTGATAAAACCAAATCTTGAAAATAGCGGGTACTCCTTTAGTAACCTTTGGGGAGGATCAAGTGCATCCGCTTCGGCAGTAGACTCGGACACTGAATGTTTGTCAGATTGATTATTTCTTGAGTCTTTGTATTGGTCCTTTGTTTATTCTCTTGGTTAAAATTGATTTAATTAGCATTTTTTAGACATGAATCGATGTTCAAAATTGCGTCACTCTTTCAGTCACCTATGCGTCGATATGCCGAAGAGATTTGTGAGGACCAGGTAAGGGGTGCGTAATTTTATGGAATTACTTTCGCTTTATCTATTTATCTTTAAATAAAAATATATTTATAATGGAATCGATTTTCTAGAGAGTGATTATCGATACAGTAAAATCTGTTGATGAATACTGTGCACAAATCAGCCAGTCAATGTTCGCTGCGCAATTACAAGCAAAAACTAATTTAGAGCAAATTAGTATTGGTATGCAAGACTTGTTATTATTTTTGTAATTCTGGACAGAAAATTGCAATTTAATTTAAAAAAACACAATTTTCAGTCAATAGTCTTATGAAACAAGTAGAAAAGACTCACGTGCACATCCACGACACATTTCAGACACTCAATAAACTCGATAAGTTATTATCTGAAGATATGCAATTAGGTAGCACAACGGCAACCGAGCGATGGCCAACAATACATAAACTTTTTGCAAAGACAAGGCCAAGGCCGCCGCAACATGGTGGCTCGTTTCAATTCGAGACTAAAAGGTTGTCATTACAACAACGTAGAACATATCCGAGTGCTGTTGCTGTCACTTTTGACACTGTACTTAGTGCTAGACATCAAGATGGATCACTGCCCGATTCTTTGATACCAGAAAAGCAACAACAACCAGTTGTAATCAACGATGCACCATCGTCATTACCACAACAGCGTCAGGAATCAGAGAATACATCGGAACAGGTTACGACAGCATCGGCTTATTCATCTTCACCGTGGTCGATTAGTCTGTCTCCAATTCGTGAAGGTCTCAAACGAGTAGGAAGTAGTACGGGAATAGATACTTTACTATGGTCTTCATCTCCTGCACCCGCTCAAAATTCTAATTCAGGACTTTTATTATCGAAACCTCCTACTACAAGTACATTTACAACGTCCCAATCATCTGCTGGTATTAGCAATAGCAACAGCAGCATCAACAGTAAGGATAGAAGTACAAGTAACTTGAATTCGTCGTCGTCGTCGACGTCATCGTCATCATCTGCTTCTGTGTCTTTGCTTACTGCTATGCTACGAAGATCAACAAATCTTCATGATACAGAAGATCGAAAGAAAATGAAATTATCTTCAAAAGATTCCAAAGAAAACTTAACTCCGGGTATAATAGAAAATGAAGCAACAAGTACTGTTTCTAGTTCCGCTACTGACTTGATTCCGCCTACTCATCATAGTCGAACACCATCCGAATCTTCAAATATATCAAATAACTCATCTGTTTGTGATGAGATTTATATGAAATCCACTATTAATAAATCACCGATATAAAACTCGAGTATTACTAAAATAACAGCTTCAAGAGCCGAAGATTCAACATTTATTGATAAAAGTCATTCATAATAAGCAAGATTTTCTGGATTATCTTTTTAAATATTTTATATATATACTTTTACGTTATCTAATTTAATGCATTTAATTAATCAAAAATTAATAAAGTTTATAATATACATGCTAATTATACCGATGAATTAGTAGTGTGCACTGACGAATTTACGTTTAACAAAATATTTATTCGACGTTTTCGTCATCTATAATGAAACCCAATAATCCCAAATAGGTATTCATTCGTTTATTGATTTTTTAGCAAAAGTTTTCCAGAAACTTTTGCTGCCAGCTTTAATAAATCAAATACACAAATAAGTTAACCTAACAAGATTTCATTCAGGCGGTGGTGAAGCCCAAGACTGATTATAATGCGGAGCCAAAATATCCTTAATCTTATCAAGTAGTTGTGTTTGCATTATAGTATTCTCATTAAGCTTGGGCGATTCAATTTCGTGCAACCACGCCACTGATTCTTCTACCTCCTGATTATTTGAAAATCCGATAACAGTAGTCTCTACCTCATCATACCCCAATGAAAACTGCACTGCCAATTTAGAAATATTTTGCCGATATTCATTAGTTGCGATCTCTGCACATTTTTTAACAGCTTCTTTTAGTTCCGTGGATGCTGGATGCCAATTTGGTGGAGGCTTATTACGTAATAGACCCATGCTTAATGGTGAAGCATTCAACACGTATTTAACTTCTGCTTCTTTACGAAATTTCTGAATGTAGTTGACAAGTAATGTGCTTTGTAGTGTGTAGTGACAATATGAGAGGATGATGTCTATAGGTTGGTGACGATCGTGTTGAATTTTGGCAATTTTAAGCAATACGTCAAGTGGATAACCTTTTCAAAATTTAGCACATATCGATATAAATTAAATTATCCTTTTATGGTAGATGACACGCATTCTTTGCTTACCACTTATCCCTACATATCGAATTTTCTTTTTTTTCTTTTTCAAGAGTAAAAAATTATTGGGATAAGAAATTAAAAATAATTAATAGAATAATTGATGAATTTACCTTCAATTCAAATAATTTCGACAGAGCACCATTAATGCCAACCACATCCTCCACATCGACAAACTCCACATCATGTGCAAACACAATATCCAAATACTCCGTCTTCAATCGCGCCAAACTATCATTCACGCTCTTTTCCACGCGTTCAGATGAATAATCAAAATCACCTTTCAGGGGACCGTAGCGACCTACTTTGGTAGCAATGTAGTATGTATTTCGTGGATATTTATGACCCAGTGCGTGTAATGCGTCGCCTAGTATTATTTCGCTGTCACCATAGTATGGACTTGTGTCGAAGCCGTTTATGCCTAGAGTGGATTAATTAATTATTCAAAAAAAAAGAACGAGTATTATTTTTAATGGAAGCTTTCGTATTGGCACATATAACGAGTGAATTTTATGTAATTCGTACCTAGTTCAAAGGCCCGTTGTACGGCTCGTAATGGCCAGTCTCCTTCTAAAGAACCATAAAAGCCACTGAATGGTCCACCACCGAACATTAGTTTTGTCAACTCTAACTTTTCTTGGTTGACGACCTATGTAATGAAGTTTTTGAGTGGACTAAATCATCGTTTTGATTCAAGTTGAACATCAAACCTTGTGTTCAGACAATGGCTTCAAGTACATTGTACAATTTGTTTGTGAGACTTCCAACGTTATTATAAATATCGATATTTTAAATATCGATATCGAATTTATCAAGCATACATATATCACGTGTTTGTGACTCGAGAATGATTGTAAGATTAGATTTTAATCAAAATACTTTCGTTTCATTCGAAAATGAGTACACCTAAACAGAAAACAACAGAAAGAGTCTCTGCAAGCTCTTCACGAAACAGGGTATTTATAAATTAATTCAGTACTCATTTGAAATTCAATCCTAATTACAGTATCTATGAAATTCAATAGGATGGTCAATTCAATCACGCACATTTACGCAATACAAAACATTTAGAGTTTCTTGATAAATGGGGGAATGATCGATTACCAAATGACGGTAGATATAAATTAAATTTTATTTTCTTGGTTGAGCATTACTAAATTTGCGATAAACAGAAATTGCAGTGCCGTTAAAGTATCAACCTTCCAGCTCCGACGATAACGATGATGGTAAGCAATTTCTCTCTAAACACAAAGCGGATCAAGTAAAAAAAAAATGTGCATTAAACTTGATTTTTTAAATATCGCACTCATATTCTTTCTAAAAAAAGCCAATTTAATTGCTGAACAACTTCAAACAGCGCGAAAATGGAATGATTTAGCGTTGAATTTCTTGAATGATGAACATCAAAGACAACCAAATACTCATGGGCATCATCAACATCATCCACAACAGTCACAACAAATTCATTAAATAGAATATTTCAAACAAGGGGGAATAATAAGTTGTTTTTTTATTCTTATGAAATTGCATTGTAAACCTTTCTCAATCTATCAATGTCAACTCTGATCCAAGTTACTGGACAGCGATTATAATTTTCTACATAGTTGTATACACATTTATAGCAAAATACATAGCCAGATGGGAGTGCAGTTGGATTATTTAGTGGATTTGAACATATTGGGCAAGTATTTGGAATATTGGGAACCGGAAGTCCACGGGGATCCGGCTAGAATAACAAACGATATGCAATTTTAATAATAGATGTTAATAAATAAAGTATTATTATGATAAATACCAATAGTTTTTCAGGTGGAGGAACTTCAATTTCGCTGTCACCGCCTGGTTTACGCGTAAATTCGCTAGAATACCACCATTCCAAAAATTTATAAAAGAATATCGACATTGGCAGTAGTATTTTCAAGAAGTCAAAACCACGCGACAAGATTGTGTATAAGAAATTAGCTCCTGCTTGGAAACGCGTTGTTGGCACACGGGGGATATTTTCACTTATAATTTTTCTTTGGGTATACTCACGCTGGATTAAAAAAACCAGGAATGAGTGTAAGGAGCCAATTCAAAAAGATTGTTAGTGAAGAAATTAACACATACATAATCTTGAACACTCATCCTACGAATTTCTATTCCCAGAAAATGTAGCCAAGGAGTATAATAGCGAGTTTTTTCATACAAGTATGCAATATTATATGCCAGAATGGAAATATTATAGAAACTATTAATCCAAGGGTAAATATCACTGAAGAAATTTCGAAGTATGTAACGCGTTTTTTCAGCGAGGGTCAACTAATTAAAAAAAATAATTATTTTTTCGTTCTTATATTCAAATTACTATGAATTCAAATTTGCATACTCGATGGTAGTTCACGTCTTCCCTTAGTGATGTTCTGCTGCTTCCTAAATATCGCACCCCAGCACCTCCACTAACTGATTCATAGTAATCATCTAGTTTAGTCTTTATATATGAAATGCCGATCTAAAATATGATATTCAACAATATATAATGATAAAGAATTATGAATTAATAAATTTGATGAAAAGTTCTGTATTCAATATATACCAATGCTAATAAGGAACGCCATATATCACGATCTCGAAGCTTTTCAAGTTCTTTACTTGAACTCTCGCCCAAGTTCATAGTTGTTCGAAGACTACGTATTCTTTTCAGTCCATAAAAGTTTTCCGTGAAAGAGGCACCTAAAATTAGTAATCTTAAATTATAATATGGAACTTAAATTTAGAATGCTCAAGATATTAGCTTTTACCCCATTCTTTTAAATAATGTCTCTCAATAAAAAGCAATATAATTGCATAGACCTCGTCGAGCCTATTAACTATGCGCAAAAGATATCTTGGATATCGTTGAGCGTAAACCTGTTCTCATAGAAATTATATGAGTTTGAAATTATTTAAAAAGGGCCACAAAAACTTAGGTAGAGGCTTACAGACAAAATATATCTAATAGCAGGCTGTAGCAGCTCGTGCATTTTCTCTTGCGCGATCAGTTCAAAAAGTGAAGGGCGATATATATCGGCATTTGAGCCGAGGTCGCTCATGAACTCCATGTTTGCCAAAAAAATTAAAGTATGCAACGTGAATATCGAGATTAAATGTAAAAAATCACATGCTGTGAATCTGATTTGTGATTTAAAGTCGCGTTTCGTTTCAATAGAAATACGTGTCTTTAAATTTATTTCGCTACCTTTTATATCCGCTACTTTTTCATTAGTCTTCAATTACTTCATGAAATATTATGCAAAACGAGATTGAAGAACGTTTAAAGCTTAGTTCTTACGGAGAAGGTTCTCCTAGGAAGGGATGGCTTTACAATATGGGCCCGGTTAGTAGTTTCCTTGTTCTTTTGCGCGGTTTTTTTTTTGTTTGGCTAACCTTCTTTTACAATAAAGACTCATATTATAGACCCAAAGAAACGCGTATCTTTGTCTGGATTGGATCTTTATTTCTTGCAGGAAGATTTAACTCCATTCAAATCCACCATTATGTATAGTCCATACTTCTACGTTGGCTGCAAAGTATTATCAAACAATATTTTTAATATACACAACCATATCTTTTAAGAATTCTACAAGCAAAGATAGTTTTAACTTTTTGTAAGTTATATAGGATGGAACTCATGACAGAGTCCGAGAATACTTGACCGCAAGATTCAAAGAAATACGTCGAATTGAGGAAGAGACTAGGAAACAAGATCTTCAAAAGGTTAGTATTGAACATATTTTCTTATATCAAACACTAGCAATATATTAAATTTCGATTAAATTTATTCTTAAGCCAAATCATCTTTTAAATCCATCGGTCAAATATTTGAAACTATTATTTAACAATGAGAAAGACTTAGTGGAAGTTCGTAAATACATTCTGCCTGCAGTTAGAGAGAACCAAAAATTGGCTGCTTCGAATATCAATCTCGACTACAGCAAAAGGTAGCTTATGTTTAAAACGATACAAGTGCATTTTGTCCAATATTTCTCTAAATTTGTTTTTGGATCTTATAACGAAAAATAGGAAAAATACAAGAATCGATGAATATGAAAAGATCTCATATATGAATGACATACGTGAATATGATGTTCCTTATTATCATCGGGTCGCCATCGATAAAGGTAATAAATAATGGTAAATATCTCTTATTTTTTCTTTCACTGAAAATTTCTGATTCAATTTAGGTATTAGAGTTGGTCGTTGGTATACAGTCCGAGCAAAGCCGAGTTATGAGGGACCTCAAATTAGTTTGACCTTGCAAGAGGATATGCTTGAAAACCCAGAAGTTGTTGTTCTTGCCTTTGATATTGAGACTTATAAAGATCCGCTTAAATTTCCCGACTCATCTAAAGACCCTATAATGATGATATCTTATATGATTGATGGCGATGTAGGATTTTTTGCTCATGTGGTTTATTATCAATTTTTCATTAGAAATAATTGTTTTCTGTTGCGTTTTAAAGGGTTATTTGATTACTAATCGAGAAATAATCGCCGAAGATATTGAAGATTTTGAGTATGTCTCGAAACCAGAATTCGCATCAAAATTCCATATATATAATGAAGCCAATGAGGTTTTTATCGCTTATTACTATTATCACGACTGAATTGCTTTATAATAATATATTAGCTAATGATTCTGTAATATTCACGCAGGTGTCACTGATCAGACGTTTTTTTCAGCACATCAATCGTGTAAAGCCTCATGTAATAGTAACCTATAATGGTGACTATTTTGATTGGCCTTTCGTCGCAGAACGAGCAGCATCGCACAATATTAATATTTACTATGTAAGTATTGTATGTTTAAATGAATGTTTATGATTTGGCATTTTTTTTAAATGCTATTTGTGAATTTATAGGAAATCGGATTTACAAAAGTCGAGGCAGGAAATGACAGTTATTATCATAGCAAGCATTGCCTACACATGGATTGTTTTAATTGGGTTCAGAGAGATAGTTATCTTCCTGCTGGTAGTCAAGGTCTGAAAGCAGTCACAAAGGTCAAATTAGGGTATGATCCTCTTGAATTAGATCCCGAAGATATGGTCCCGTAAGTTCATAATACTTTTGTTCTTGATTTTTGAACCGAATAGTAATATTTAATTGACGTCATTTTTGCCATTAAGAGCTGCATTTGAACGACCACAAGAATTGGCACAATATTCCGTTTCTGATGCAGTTGCTACGTATTATCTTTATATGGAGCATATCCATAGTTTCATATTTTCACTAGGTAACCTGATCCCTCTCAATCCTGATGATGTACTACGTAAAGGTTCAGGCACATTATGCGAACTTTTGCTCATGGTAAATATTTCATCTGTTCAATCTGATTTATTATTATAAAATTGTCTTTCAATCTGGACTATAAGACTAATTCTTTATACGAATGATTTAAGGCGGAAGCGTATCGTGCTAATATATTGTTCCCAAATAAACATACAGATGAATTGGAAAAGTGGGACAATGCAAGGTTTCTGGATTCTGAGACTTATGTTGGTGGTCACGTTGAGGCTTTGGAAGCTGGTGTATTTCGATCAGATATCCCAATTGAATTTAAAATTGATCATGATTCCATCCAAAAGGTAAATAAGATTACAATTTTTATTTGCCTGTTAAATTGGTTCATTTTCTCACTTATATCAGCTTATCGAGAATGTAGATGATGTCCTGAAGTTCGGTTTAGATTCTGAGGAAAGAGGTGAAGATTTAATTTCAGATATTATCAATTATACTCAAGTAAGAGTTAGCTTATATTTTTTGATTTCAATGTATATTGCTATTCCCGTTTCCGATATTCACTCAGTAACACTCGTGTGATCAGGTCCGAGAACAAATAATCGGATCTTTACAAAATCTTCAAGAAAAGTCACTGCATGAGACTAGCCTTATTATGACGCCAGCAATATATCATTTCGATGTGGGCGCTATGTACCCCAATATTATTTTAACAAATCGTTTACAACCCGATGCAATCCGTGCTAAGACCAAAAACAATTTGTGCAATCATAAAGTATCTGGCATATCTTGTGATCGACCTATGAATTGGACTTGGCGTGGCGAAGTCTTTTCACTGAACAAAGATGAAATAGAACATTGCCGAAGTTTACTCAAATTAAAAACATACGAGAATGTTAAACACGCTGATTTATCATCAGAGAAGCAAAACGAGATAATAAAGAAAAGCTCCAACAAATTCTCTGATTTATCACCATACAAACAAGCCGAGCTAATAAAGAACAGTAATATCAAATATTCTGATCTATCAACAGAAAAACAAGTCGATCTATTAAAGAAACGGGTCCAAGAATATGGCCGGGCTATTGGGCGCACAGTCAAAACTACGATACTCGAAGATAGGGAAGTGATTGTATGCCAACGCGAAAATCCTTTTTATGTTAACACTGTCAGAAATTTTCGCGATGAACGGTACAAATACAAGCGTCTGTTGAAGGATTGGAAGAAAAAATTGGAAATCGCAAAGCGTTCTGATGAATTCAAAATTGCAAAAAATCGGGTTGTCCTGTTCGATTCATTACAGATCGCTCATAAATGCATCTTGAATTCTTTTTACGGCTATGTTATGAGGAAAGGCTCTCGTTGGTATTCAATGGAAATGGCTGGTGTAGTGTGTTTAATTGGTGCAAAGATAATTCAAATGGCTAAACAATGGGTGGAAACTGTAGGACGACCCTTGGAATTAGATACGGATGGAATATGGTGCATGCTTCCTTCAACTTTTCCACAACAAATAACCTTTACTTTAACCAGTAATAAATCTATTACTTTGTCTTATCCTTGTGTCGTACTCAATTATTTAGTGAGAAGAGATTTCACCAATCATCAGTATTGCGATATGAATAGTAAAACCGGAAAATATGAAATGCACAATGAAAATTCTATTCTATTTGAACCTGATGGACCATACCGTGCAATGATATTACCGGCAAGTGAAAAAGCGGATAAAAAGCTGAAAAAAAGATATGCAGTATTTAACGATGCTGGGAAACTGGTTGAATTAAAAGGGTTTGAGGTGAAACGTCGTGGCGAATTAAAGCTGATAAAGATTTTCCAAGAAAGTATATTTCCTCTTTATCTTAAAGGAACAAGTCTCGAACAAAGCTATGAAGCTGTTGTAAAGGTTGCAAATAGTTGGCTTGATCTACTTGAAAACAAAGGAGATGGAATGAACGAGGCAGAACTGATTGAATTAATTTGCGAAGGCAAGAACATGTCGCGCACGTTAGAAGACTATGGGAATGCAAAGTCAACTCAAATTACGACTGCTAAGCGTCTTAAGGAATTTCTTGGTGCAGAAATGGTACAAGAAAAGGGATTAGCTTGTAGATTTATTATTGGGGCAAAACCAAGTGGTCTTGATGTCAGTCAAAGAGCGATTCCAATCGCAATCTTTTCTGCAGATCTCCCGGTAAAGCAACATTTTTTGAGAAAATGGTTGAATGATCCTGGTATTCAGAGTGTCGATATACCTGATATCGTGGATTGGGGGTATTATTCGGAAAGATTAAAGCGCGTGATTCAAAAACAAATCTCGATCCCAGCTGCTATGCAAGGATTGCAGAATCCTATTCCAAGGGTTCCACCTCCAAAATGGCTTATAGATCAAGAAAAAGCAAAGAACAATAATCAACGTCATATTGACGAGATGTTTATAAAATTGGCAAAAGATTCTGTCGGAAGAGAGAACAAAATTGCTTTATCTCGTCCAGATGATTCCAATAATATGGAAATCGCAGATGAATCAGATACCATTAATGCGATGGAAATTGATGAAAACGTTGCTGAGGCTTCTTCCCGCAAGCGGAAAAGTCCCATAAAAATAAATAAAAATTCAAAGAGAACTAAATCTCAAAATGATACAATTCAACTGGACGATGATGAAAATGAAGATAACGTTTCTCAAGAAGAGGCAAATGAAGAGACAAATGAAGAGACAAATGGACAGAACAAAAAAACACCACGAAATAAAACTAAAAGATCCAGAAAATTGCAAAATCAACCGCTTATCACCTCTCAGTTTGGATTAGATTCAAGTTGTCCAAACGATATCATCATTTTTCAAATCATTCCCACAAACATTACGGGTGAATTGCGTGTCTTTGCATTTTCAAGAAATCAGCTATACCCGATAACTCTCACGGTGCCACGTATACTTTATGCTAATTCACGTAAATCAGAACTAGCAGATAATATAAAAGCTATGTGCGATCAAGTTATTAAAGTCAAACGTACTTTACCTGGATCACGCGTGCTTTATCATCTCTTTGAATTATTCATTAAAGAAAAAGACTTTGAAAAGAATCTTGGTATTTTAATGAGGGACAATAGTTTAGAGGGTGTTTACGAATCGAAAACACCTTTGACACAAAGAGTTATCAATAAATTAGGATTCTTGTGCATTGCTAATGCTAAAGGACAAAGTCTGCTTAATAGCAGATGCAATCTCATGGATATTAATGTATCAAAAAGCAAAAATCCCAGTATTCCGCTTGATAAGTTCTCTTACTTATATCTTATACATATTGTAACTGAATATGGCGTTATTTGGGCATTGTTTCACTCTAAAAGAGTCGAGGCGCAATTTTTTATTCTTAATAAGCATTCAAATCAAATAATCACAGATCTTACAATAGAACATACTTATGAAAAAATCTGGAAAGATATCATCGAAGAGAAAAAAGTCATCTTAGAGTACAAACCATCTTTAACAGTATTTAAAAGAAATTATCGCGACCATGATGACGTTTTTAGAGATATTTCACATGAACTGCGACAATTCCATGGACCAACACTTATGATTATTCAATCCAAAAACAATAAACCTTTAGGCAGAGAAAAGATCACGCAATTTCCGATTATTTTCATGTATCCTCCGAAATTGATTCAGAAGCAATTGAATCCATTAGATTGGCAAAGAAAGGTCGTTGAGGCAATATGTCATAATTATTTTGAAGTTGGGTCCTGGATCAGCCATCGAATTGATATTGCCAAATACACGAATATTCCTGTATGCAATCTTCCAAAAGATTGGCAATTGTATGCGATGGACGTCCAGTTTTCAAGGCATCTTCAGAATAATGGACAACTTTTATGGTGGTCGGCGTCTGGTGAACCAGATTATGGGGGACATGAATTTGATAAAAATTCATATGTTATGGACATTTATTCTGCTACTGAATTCAATAACCCTGGCTATTATAAGACGATATGCCTCGAAATGAAGGTTCACGATCTGTTGTTCAATGCAATATTGAAGTATGAAAAAATTTCGATGCCCGAAATGCCTGATTCTTTAAAAAGTCTAAAGATTATGGTTAAGCAATGGCATTTTGATGCTTTAACACAGGGTAAAGAATCGCTTGACAAAGAAATGAAGGATCATTTTCATCGTTGGCTTAGTTCTCCTGAAGCTAATATGTATGATCCGCGTCTTAGTGGAGCTGTGAAAAGATTGATGACCAATGTTCTTTGGGAATTATATAATAAACTTGGAAAGGTGATCTATATTGATTTTGGAAGAATAATAGTAGACACTACAAAGCCTAAAAGTACCACCCAAGAAATCAGCGAACACTTTAATATTATTAAAAGTGAAATATCAAACACTGATCGTCTTCAGACATTAAAGCTTCAGCCTAATAAATTATGGACACAACTTTTATGGGAAGACTCTTCAAATTATGGAGGGCTCTGCATGAGCGAAGGCAAAAAAAAGGAAATTCAGATGTCATGGAATATGGCGAGTTATCTGCCTAAAGATTTGGTCGGTCCTTTCGAAAATACTATAAGATTTTTTATCATTAAAACGTCTGATTTTTTGATGAAAAAAAATTTTAACCTCGACAATGGATTTGAAGATGATGAAACCTTGGATATGTATAAAGATATCTTTATCGAAACCATCAACAAGATAAAGCAAATACTTTCGGCTATAAAGTGTCAAGAAATTAAAGGGGTAGTCTATAAATTCCCGGAACTTCCTGGATCGGTATATCGAAAAAACAATGCCGCACTTGAATTTCTCAAATACACATTTCGAATCTTTAAATTGGACCCCGAACTTGAAGAGTCAGCAGAAGACGAAAAGCAAAATTTGATGAAATTCATTGAAATTAGCCCATTTAGTAAGTTTGCCAAATTTATGAATCCGGCTGGATCATTAAAGATACCGATTTCTTGCTATGAGTGCGGATTCATGCGTGATGTTGATCTTTGTCGTGAAGATTATTCGGGATGTACTTGCAAAAAATCATATAACAAAGATATATTTGAGGAGAATTTAGTTGCATGGGTGGAGCGTCGTATAATGGCATTTCAGTTGGGAGATTTAAGATGTGTTCATTGTAGAAGGCCAATTAAAGATCTTCAGGATAATTGTGATTGTGGTAATGCTTACAAGATGGAACAGGATCGCAATGGGTTAATGGAACAATTACATATTCTTTCTGAAATATCTAAGCTTAATAACATGATTTTATTGAACGAAATTGTGGGTAGAACTCTTAAATTTTCTTTTTGTCGTTAATTAAATTTATGCGACTCATGTAATATTACCATGTGCAAGTCTCACTTGTAGAAAATTTAATAATCCAATTTCTTTGCTCCAAGTAAAAACTCCCATCCTCAAATTCTTATTTAAAAGAATTAAGTGGAGTAGTTCATTTTCCTTAATAATTCGTCGTTTTTGATTAGATTTATTTCTTGTCACTATTATCGGCTTTAGTACCCAAAAAAAAAAGAAGCAGCCAAAATTACCAGATAAATGCCCTAATTTAGAGAAACGAAGTGTGAAGTTTAATAACCCTACGAAATCCAAACATAAAAAATAACATAAAAAACAATTTTTTTTATTTCTCAGTAAAGAAACGGTTCAAAGAATCAGAATGTGGCGTGGCCTGTTAAACATTATATCGAAAGGAAAATCAGTACTTTGGGATTATTTCTCAATCGAGAAGAATTGGAAGGCAACACTAACACTAACGCTAAATTCTATGCTGTAAAAATAAAAAAGGAATATTCTCGGTAGTTCAAATGCGGCCGTGGTGATTAATTGACGGTGTAGTTATTGATTTAAGACTGTTATATTCGTAATCAACGGATGGGAATCTGGTGTCGTATAACTTTTCCTCCTGGTAATATTTCTTCACAAAAAACTCTGAAACTCGTCTAAGATTCATTAATTCATTATAATCTTCCACCAGTCGTTCTTTACCATATCTTTATATTCACGCTTTGCTTCATAAATTTGCTTAAAAATTAATTCATTTTACGCTCTTCATCAATTTATAAAGCTCATTTTGATCTACTTCGTTTTGTAATGCGTTTTCTTGTTCTTGTTCTATTTCCTTAATAAATACGTTGTCATTTTCTTCTGGTTCTCTAAGGAATTGAAGTTGTTTATCTTCATCAATATTATTACTTATTATTATCATTATTGTCATTATTATCATTACTATCATTGTCATTATTATTATTATTATTATCTGTTGACAACCAAAAACATACCGATAGTGCCTCTTTTTCACTCGACGTTCCTCATGTACTCTTGAATCAAGAATTCGAAAATAGCATTATTTAGCTTGTAGTATTATTCTCTGATGTATATAAACACTTCCTCTCACCTTCTGAAGGAAGGTAAGAGTTTTTTGGTTTTTCATTTCAACTTTTACTTAAATAACAAATTCATATGGTGGCGGTAATTATCTTCTCAATGTAGAAAAGGAGACTAACGAATCAAACTAACTTAACTTTCGGAACAGAAGAAAAATTTATCAAAAGAAAAATATGGGTTAAATATTATTGGGCTTATGTTACGCCACAGGCAAAAAAATAATTCCTCGCCAAACAATAACAATGATAATGTCTCCGCGAACGAGAGGTGGAAGATAAGTTTCGGTAGTTTGGAATTGCTTCTTCGGAAAGCAAACAAAAATAAATCATTAGCGTTAGAAAATTTCCTTTTCTGGAATCGACAACGTATCCATTGGGTGTGAAGTATGTTTTTCCATTTACGTTTTATAGTGATTTAGAATTGTTTCTTCAGAAAGAAAACAGAGCAGAAATATTTAAACCAGAAGAAATAACATCAGAAAACAACTTCCCGGGGCAGCGCTGTTCGATATAATTAATCATTAGTTGCTTTTTTTGCCACACATGACTGTGGAGACGTTTGGCTGTGAAGTTTTACGTGTCACATGTTTCGAATTGTAATTATTCATCAAAAAAAGACGCCATTATGGAATGCATGACTTTCGTTACGAAATCGATATATTAAAGACAGAAAAACTTTTTATATAGTTAGGATTCAAAGTTGTAATTAGCATACCCCAAAATATATATTTGATAAAACTTTGATGTGATAAAGCAACTAAAGCTTTTTCAATTTTGTTAATACATACTTGCATAATATCGTATCCTTTTACACCTGTTTGCAAATAACAATAATATCGTTTCTTGTGTGAAATTACGAAAATGACTTTTGACCATTTGCATACGTTATTGTACTTAAAAATCAAGAGTTTTCTAACCTGGGTTCGTGATTCCCAAACTTTGATATTTTTTTCATACAGTAGCTCACGCATGAAATGGAACACGAAAAAAATAGCGAGATTCGAATACCTCACCATTGAAGAAGCATCCGCGATTAGAGGTAAGTGGAATTTATTTCTTAAATTAATAAATATCAATTGGTGCAATTTCTATTTTTAAATTATGACCAAAGTCGAAAGTCTTAAAGCTAACTATAAATCCTCATCACACACAACAATATTAACCACTTTTTTTATCCTGATGTCTCGAATTCCACATTGAAACGTACCCGAATACATGTTCTCTGACAAGAAGGATACATGGTCCAGAATCGCGGCATCAAACTAACTTCGGTCGTATCCAAAAGAAGAGACCGGGAGCTTCGATGATAAACCAAAACCCGGTCGCCCACGCACTCTTTCGGATCGTTACGAACGGAATGCCATCCGACTGATAACGTCCGGAAAATGCTCACCGCCGTCGAAGTCAAACTCCAAACTGATATAGGAGCCAACTTATTAGTGGAGAGCGTACGGTGTATATTCCGGAGAAATGGCCTACTCTCCAGAATTAAATGCAAAAAGCCACTGCTCACAAAGACACACCGAAAACGTCGGCTTTCTTGGGCGAAAAAAATACCGAGATTGGGCGATTTGCGGCTAATAATTTGGTCTGACGAAAGGAAGCGCGGGGATTATAGTTTTCTCCAAGTTTTGGATGTGAATGCTTCAGTTCCTTCCGGCTTTCTGCCTTAGTTTCCTATAGATTTATAAAAGCATCCCATATTTTCATATGCAGCAAAAAAAGCAAAGATTTGATTTGGTAATTTACTTTAGCGAAGTTACCGATAAAATCAAGTAATTTTGTGTCGTTTTCTATCGATATAGACACCTGCGTTCATTTTGCCATCTTCGCCAACTCCGTCGGCAGTCGTGCAACGATTGTGCTGCTACCTAACTTTACAGTTGACGTAATATGGCGGTTTTTTAATGATTCACCGGGCTTTTTCCAGCAATACTTTCGTCCATCCGAACTGGCTGGTACTTGCGAAAATAAAAGTAATGATGAAATGGAGACTTAAGGCTAGAAAATATGTTGAAGACATCCTTTATGAATTAGGAACGCGATGCGAATTTCACAAGTGAGTATTCTACTCCAAACTAATGACAAGCCAGTTTTGGATGAGGTGGTTTCATTACGCATGATTATTGACCTTAAATAAATTATATCCTTGCTATGTCTTAGTTAATTCATTCCTTTATGATTGACCCAGAGGACAAATTCATTCGCTCTGCGTTCACTGAGGAAGAGTTGACAGAAATTCGTAAAGATTAAATGAAAATTTGTTAGGTTTACTTTTGGCGACAATACTGGAAAAGGATCAAATTCTTTCCCAGCAAGATAATGGTACGTTTATTTCTTGCACTATTACGAAACGACTTCTAGATGTTGCAAAAGAAAGCCCCCCAAAACGTGTGGCAAGGGCTAGTATTGTGGATTTGAACCATTGAGAATTTATTCATTTTAATTAACAAATTTATTTCTAGAATTTAAACTTTATGGAAAACGACCCCAAAAACCCTTTTATTGCATCTGGAATAACCGATGAGAGCAACTTGAATGGGCTTTTTACAACACCTGACGGAAACAATTCAGATAAATCTTATCATCATCCTAGTTCGGATGAACCAGATGATGATACTTTCATTGAGATAAAAAAGAAGATAAATAATTATACCTGTCAAGTTGCTATAGAATATCAGTACTGTATTATTATAGGACTGTCCCACACTAAGTAGATATAACATCCTATCCAACCAATAAAAGAAAACATATTTCATGGTGATCCTGAAGTACATTGATTATGATGAGATTAGTGTTCCTATGAACCGAACTGAATCGGACTTTTGCCTGGATTCGAGTTCGGTTCGAAATTCGAACCGAACTCGAACCGGACTTTGGCTTGAGTTCAAGAAAGGTTCAAAGTTCGAACCAAACTCGAACTGAACTATTATACGAGTTCGAGTCTGATTCAAGTTCGATTAAAGATCGGCATATAGTATCTAAGGATGCTTGCCTAAATCCTTTCAGAAAAATATCGTCATAATTTCAATGGGTTACACACTAATTGTTAATTAGAA